TCCTTTGATTTTGTAACCCCGAAATGAATCAAGTTCCTTCGTGGCATAATGCTTGGATTTTTTTCCAAAATTCTATCGGCACTACTAGCATTTTTTTCTCATTTCCATAATGATCTCTCTGAATTCGAAACAAAAGATCGTTCTCAATACAGTAGGTTTGTTTCAATGATTGATCTCAATTTCTTGAGCTGATAGAGTCATAAATCGCTTTTAACGTTTCACACCTTTTCTGGGAGACACAAATGTTCTTCGGTCAGTCTTCATTAGAGCAGTTTCTACCCCGCTGTTCTCTGTTCGCTCTCCGTTTTCATGGTATGGTCAAGGATAGGAGTGGCGGACCTGCTCACCCCATCTTCCCAAAAAGTCCCTTACCTCGAAACCCGATCCACTTCATGTGGGGTTTGACTTTTCTTTTGGGCCATAGAATGGGGAGAACATTCTATGGCCATCTCTATGGCATTTATGGAATTTGGAACTAGTGATTGCAATCTTCCTGCGGTTTGATTTTCCAGAATGTACACACCTCTGTCTTAATCCTCTCCAACGATTGCACTTTGTGTTTGGATGTGGCCAATTTCATTCATCTCAAGCTCTATACATGCTAATGGTAGACATTTCGCTTCCATATGCAAAGGGATTCTTGCCCATACTGTTTCTCCTGTAAATGTTTCCGAAGTGATATAATTACAACTCGCCAAATCGAGGCTCACTCCGTTGTTCCGCAATAATTTAATGGGATGACCATTTACACGTGCATCCATGACAAAGGGCGACAGCAATTTCTCTGCACTTTTAACCCTTTAACTGCCACAGGCCTTGCTCAGCCGATGCATTAACTGCCCGGGCATATATATACGCCCTTCCAAAATACTATCATTTGCTTTGTGCTGCTACCCGTAAAATTATTTACAAAGCTTTGGAATGCAACACCACAATGACCTTGACAAGGTAGGCAAAGGAGGATACTATTTCAGAGAAGTGTGGGGAGAAATTGGAGAGAGGGATGTGTCTAAAGCCGTGAAAGTAATGAAAGTAATGACTGCGCGGTATTGGCTAGTGTTGTTTGAGTAAAACATTTTTTTTTTATTCTGTGTCCTCCGTTTTCGTTTACTTTTTGCAGTAGGTTCTAGGAATAACAAAAGGTATAACGGATGTTTCAAACCCATTTATCTTTTTTGAATTATATTTTGATGAATTGCTTGTGCTTCGTATTGTTACTGAAACTAACCATTTTGTAGACGAGTATATGAACCAACACCTAGCAAATGAAAAATCAAGAACAAAATCGTGGCATTCAACCAGTTCAAAAGAAATATATGTTTTTTTATGCATACTGATTTCACAAGGTATAACACTGAAACCTGATTCTACACTTTACTGGCCTAAAAATGAATTGATCGAAACTCCATTTTAGGGATCTTTTTTATTATACTTATATCTTTTTATTATACTTTTACTCAAAACATTAAACTTTATGCATTCGTTTTTTCTTTTATTCTTTATTTTGTGAAAGTAAACAGTGTTTAAAAGTAAAACTTGCACTTATTTTTCCCCTAATACATCGCATAACTACGCATGCCTGTGTGAAAAACGATGGCACTGGGAAATGAATCTTGCACGTTTTCCATGGCAGTTAAATTGATATAAGTTGTTTTTTTCCAAATGCTTTGTTTGGCTGGTCTTCGTTTGTTCTGCATGAGACAAAACGTTTTTTTTTTCTCGTCATCCCCCTTTTTATCTTTAGGATCAGTTAAATTCCTATCCTTCGGTCTTGATATCCCGGATGAGCTGATTTCTTCCGAATTCGTCCGATATCTTTGTAGTTATCGAACATATCTGCCAACTCGGCTGCCGAAGTAACTTTTACCGAGTTGTCCAAGAAATGCTCCTTGACTTCGCTTCGAACGCAACATTTCATTTGATCGATAACCATCAAATCCTTCAGTTTCTCAAAATTCTTTATCTCCAAACCGCTTAACTATCCGTCTAAATAATTTTTTACAGCAAAACTCAAATCCCTCCATGTTTCTTCTGATCTTCGTTGATGCTAAATAAATTTAAGACTGAATTTTCAGGGCTCAATTTGAATCTTTTTTAAGAGTAAAGCCTTTACGTATATGTAATCGCAGGCTTTTTCTTCGCGTTCTTTAGATATAAGTTGTATGAAATCCATGGGCAATAGTGCTAACAAATAAGCTACCAAGTCGCTCTCCTCGATACCAAACTTTTTTGCTTGTTTCTCAAACATAGTCAGATGCAAACTAATATCCCCACTATCTGGATCAAATTTTTGTAGCTTCCGATGAAACTGCTTATTACTCAATCTTGAATTTTCCGGTACCACAGGCGACGATCTACCCATTGCCTAGATCCTTAGCCGTTCTAACTCAAATTGTCTTATCTCCCTAGCCAGCAATCCTCTCTCTCTTGTTCTCGAAGTCTCTCCTCCTCCAATCTATCATTTACTATTCCCTCAAAAACACCTGTAACGAACTCTTCGTAAACGCTGATTTTTTGAATCAGAGATTTTAGCTCCCCAAACTTTTGACTCATTGTAGCCTCCTCCCATACTTCTATTGCTAGGTTGTATAAGTCAATCTTTTTTCCTTTTCCCAAGAAAGCCATTTTAACCAAAGTCTTTGTGCTACACTCTATTTCTGTACTTAGAATTATCACACAGTAATCAAAAATACAGTGCTACTGAGATTATCATTTATATTAGCAACCATTAATGCACATTGTTTTTACAAACATCGTACTATGATCCAATTCTTAACATAATAAGAATTCAGTATACTCAGTATTACAATTTTAAAAATGCTTGAAATTTCCTTAATATTATTAAAATTTAATACACACTATGGATACATTTACAGCATTAATGAATTGAGTTTTAGTAAGTTTTTTTACCTGAGTACATATTAATAAAAAGAATAAGTAATTCAATCACACCTTCAATAACGATATGTACACAACCCAACATCAAGTAACAATCCAATTAAATAAATTTCAACTGTTCTTAATTTAGTAAATCTGTTTTCACAACTACTGTAGTGCTGATGTGTTTTCTAATACATTAAAAACCAATTATAAAATTATCAGTAATTTTTATACTGTTAAATAATAAAATCAAAATACATTAATTCTAAACATAGTTAATTTTTGTTCGGATCTTACATTACAAAATGTTAAAACATAACTAAAGAATAGAATAACAACAGTAAAAAGGCTTTCTGTATTTTCTACGCTACTGAATTTCTACCTTATTATTTCAACAATTATGCAATTTATTATGATTTACGTTTATGAACTAATACCATGACATACACATAAGTATGAGTTAAAAGGCATAGCAAGGAAGACAATGTATCAACTTTTCACAAAATTAACTACTTGGGATAGGTCATTGCCTTAGTTTAAAAATCAAGGTACTTAACCCCATTTGATGACTAGTTAGATGAAGATTCGCTGACACTATATGTATTCTATACGATCATCAGAATAGCAAGATTCTCACAAACACAGAATTTATGTGATCAACTTCTGCAGAACGTGCTGGCTCTTCCTTCACAACATGGAACTTTAACGTTATCTAAGGGACACAGAAACTCATAAGAATAGTAGCGATACTCTAAACTTTATCACTTAGAATATAACCATGCAAATAGAACTGGAGTCAGTATGATTCTGACAACATAAAAATTAGGATTATTTTTGATGGGAAAAAAAATCGTCGTGTTGAACCCTTGAGATTCTCTAAAATATCACTTAGATGGTAATCTTGCAAAGAAAACTGAAATTGGTATGATTCCTACAACATAAAAATCAGGATGATTTTTGATGAGGAAAACTCGTTGTGCAGAACCATTGCGGTTCTGTAAAATATCACTTAGATGATAACCTTACGAAAATACTGGAATTGGTATGATTCCAACAACGAAAAAATCAGGATGGTTTTGGATGAAGAAAACTCATTGTGTACAATCTTGGCAGCTCTAAAATATCACTTAGATCAAGCAAAGAAACTGGAATCAAGATGATTCCTACATCATGAAAATCAGGATGATTTTGGTTCCGTCAACTTATGTAGATCAATAACAGAACTTGAGTCGATTTCTAAACTGCACAGGATCACAAGAGTGCTGTGAAAACTTCACTGAATCAGTATGATTCGGTCAGGACTGCAAACCTCATAGAATCAGGATGATTCTACTCAACTTTGTCGAATTCAAGCATCACTTCTTCGTTTGACTAATGGGCCTTTTAAAATCCCACCACTGCTGACACCATTTGTGCCATAGTCGTAACTTCCTCAAATAAACAAGACCTGCTCTATGCTAAATATTTAATTATATATACAACTATGTACAGATTACTTTTTAGAAAAACTTTAAAATACATTTTCACTACAGGAGAGCGTGCAAACCAGCGTTCTTTTTTTTCTCTTCCACATCTCAATCTCTACGTACTCCCACCTGCGACCAAGGGGAAAGTCCGTTCCCCTCTTCCTGCCAAGGCGAGAAGAGGGTTATCTATCTGCCCCTTCTTTTAAGGTGGGTGACCAAGTGTTCTGCAGAGAACGGAAACATTATAGCCCTCTATCAAATTTGCTTAGAGCAACAGCCTTTCCCATCACTCACTAAAATAAGTGCAAGAATGATTCCTTACCTTTTCTTGGAAGCAGTTAAATACCCTTTCCATTCAATCACATGCCCTTCACGTCATCCAGCCAAGTTTATTGCAAAATGTGGGGATGTCATAATGTTTTGGCTCATCAGCGAGTATCGATAGTTTGGTATATTCAACTTCTTATTGGAAGTACTACTTAACATAGCATCTTGCCATGCAAATTTAGATATTTGATTGATGTTTATTGTAATACATATTTTCAATAAAGTGATAAGAACTATAATGAAATAAAATTGATGAATTGATAAGTAAATATGAGCTTATTATGGGAAATCTTTATTTTTAATAATTTTAATGGCATTCAAATCTCTTGTGTATACGTTTTCATGTACCCTGTTAATTTTTTATTTGTGTTTTAGATTCTAAGACATGTCTGATAGTGAGGGAAGCAATTATTCTGCTAATGATAGTGAAGAAAGTGAGGTATGTAGATGATTTTATTTTCTCTCTTTTCAGATTCTCATTTTTACGTTTCAGTTCTGTTTTTAAAGCGTGTTGTTCTATTTGTGTTCTTTATAATACTGAAATTTTAAAAGTTGTATTCTAAATGCAGGAACTGCTAACAGTTCAAAACTATGAAAATTGTTTTCTCTCTCTCAAAAAAGTTCAGCTTATAATTTCTTTTTTTTTGGGGGGGGGAAGGCATGAAAGAAATTTTTTAGTTGTACGTTTTTCATACTGACTGTATGAAAGGACCCTATCTATATATCTTTATATCTTACATTCAATATGTTATTGTTTTAAAATGTAATGTCATTCTATAAAGAAGTTTTACATGACTGCTTGATTTAACAAGTGATAATTTTTTTAAAATAATTCTGTTCTTATCATTTTGTTAATTTATGGAAAATACATCATGCTGTTTATTTTTAAGGATTGGAAGCCCTTTTTTAAATTCTAAAGAATGTAGGAATAAAAATGGAATTGAAAAGAAAACATTTAATACGTACAAGTTTTATACAAACAGAGAGAAGTGGCACTTCGCTTCTTCTCGTGTGAAATATTTGAGATTTTGGATAACACAAAAGGGAATCGAAGTTGAACCAGAAAAAGTTTTCCCTATCCAGAGAATTCCACCTCCCAAAAAGGTCAAGGAACTCCAATACTTTCTTCAAACGTGTTCTTGGTTTAGACGATATATACAGTCAAAAGTCGTTAATTCGGACACCCATAACTAGAATGATCTATAATCCAGACCTCTAAGCTACAAACTTTCTGCGCACGCATAGACCTTTACGGCTGCGAATATGCGTGTGCGCATGCGCAAAATACGTTTACGAATGCGCATTTAATGTATAACGGATGGTATAAGCTAAGCTAAAATTATCTAATTCAGTTAATGTTGCAGATTGCGTTGTTCCTTAATCTTCGAATTGATCCGGCTTATTATTTTTTGCAGACTGTTAGAGCAATTTTATAAAAGTAAGCTTGAACTTTCAATTATGTCAAATAGAATTTCTGATATATATTTACTAATATGTAAAGGATCTACAAAGCGAAAGTATGTTTCGAAGTCCATTAAACAAAAAGTGGAATTGCTGCAAAAAATGGAGAAAGAATAATGGATTTGTTTATCTAACCATTCCGAAATCTGTTTATCAATTTCACGCTGCTCTGTGTGTGTGTGTGGTGGGTGGGGGGGAACGCCGTCGTGCAATGAATTGGAAGCTGATCTGTCAGCACTATCCTTATCTTCAGGGCAGATGTTTTTATTTTATTTGCTTATAATTCCTTACTAAATGTAGTATTTCACCTCGATGTACTCCGTCTTTGATATGATTTAAATCATATCAAAGACTTCATTATAATTCGCTTCCGATAGCGAAAAAAGTGGCACAGAGGTTATTGAAAACAAAAAAATTTCGATTGAAAAATTAGTCGGTATTCTCGACACAGCAATTATAGGACTTGAACAGCGGAGCTTTGTAACTGAACAAGAAATTAGGTCTGTTTATAGGATTAAAGAGGAAGTATTATCACATAAAAAACGAAACAACCTAAACAACTTACATTGAAAGAAATGTTTAATAAAGTAAAAAAATAAATATTAAGCTTTTTTTTTTTGTAAATTTTGATACCCTTTAGATCATAATTGTTCTTTATTTCATAAATTACGGTTTCATATTTTTAATTTTATAATTTCTGCATGCAATCTTACCAGAATTAAACTGATTATTGATAATCCGGAATCGCCGAAGTCCCAATGAGTCCGGATTAACGACTTTTGACTGTACAAAACTTTGCGGAAATATTGCGACCTCTTAGTGATTTGACAAAGAAGAAAGTCCAATGGGAGTGGGGTTTCAACCAGCAAAAAGCATTTGAAACTCTAAAAAACTGCCTCATACGACCTCCTGTGTTGAAGCAAGCAAATGGAACTCAACCCTATATTCTTCGAACAAATTCTAGCAATTTTGCTCTTGAAGCCGTTTTACTTTAAGTGAAAGGGTCAAAAGAGCACCCTATCGAATATGTCACCCGACCGCTTTCTCCGGCTGAGCGAAACTATCTGAGGACTAAACGAGAAGCCCTCGCTGTAGTCTGGGTCCTGAAGAAATTCCGTGGTTACATATATTGGGTATAATTTAAACTGCCTGTTTGGCTCCCAAAATGTAAGTTGGATTTTGATTATAAATTTATTTTTTAAATATAATTACGACACAGAAAGATATTATTGTGATATATCTCCCCTTTTAAAAAAACAATCACGCATTAAATTTTTAAAGTCATGTAACCAATCCTTTAACATAAACTTGTGAACTAATTGTGACAACAAGGGTGCCCTCTGGTGAGTAGCCAGAGAAGTCCTTCAGTAAAAGCTAGGTGTCTAACCTAATAGGTTGTACAGTCAAAAGTCGTTAATTCGGACACCCATAATCCGGAATGATCTATAATCCGGACCTCAAAGCTACAAACTTTCTGCGCATGCTCGCGTTGACGCATGCGCGTAAGCCTTTACCGCTTAATTTGGTGTGCGCGTGTGCAAAAATACGTTTACGAATGCGCGTTTAATGTATAACGGACGGGATAAGCTAAGCTAAAATATCTATTTCAGTTAATGTTGCAGATTGCGTTGTTTCCTATCTTCGATTGGATCGGATTATTTTTTTTGCAGACTGTTAGAGCAATTTTAAAAAGTAAGCTTGAACTTTCGATTATGCAAATAGAATTTCCGATTGTAATTTACTAATAGTAAAGGATATACAAAGCGAAAGTATCTTTCGGAAGTCCGTAAACAAAAATGGATAAAGGCATATTCTTTTTTCTCTAAACTTAAAATTGTTTATCTAAACTTGTTTATCTTTAACGCGGTGGTTGGCGTGCAATGAATTGGAAGTTGATTTTGTCAGCACTATCCTATCTTAAGGGCAGATGTTTTTATTTTATTTGGCTTATAATTGTACTCAATGTAGTATTTCATCTCGATGTACTCCGTCTTTGATATGATTTAAATCAAATGCCTCGTCATTATAATTCGCTCCATAGCGAAGAAAGTGACATAGGTTATTGAAAACGAAAAAATTTCGATTGACAAATCAGTCGGTATTCTCGACACAGCATTATAGGACTTGAACAGCAGAACTTTTAACTGACAAGAAAATTTGTCTGTTTATAGAATAAAGAGAATGTATTATCACATAAAAAACGAAGCAACTGATACAACTTACATTGAAAGAAATGTTTTTAATAAAGTAAACAAATAAATATTAAGCTTTTTTTTTGTAATTTGATTACCCTTTAGACATAATTTCTTTATTTCGTAAATACGTTCATATTTTTAATTTTAATTTCGCATGCATTTTACCAGATTTAAATGATGATCTGAATCCGGAAAAATCGATAATCCGGAATCGCCGAAGTCCCGACGAGTCCGGATTAACGACTTTTGACTGTATTAAATTCTTGCTCTGAAATTTTCTTAAAGTTAAATGTAATGCCTGTGTGTAACTTAAACCTGTTAATAAATACTTGTTACACTATAAAGGACTCTTCTATGACCCTATCCAAAATGACCAACCTCATAAAGTGGCATCCACGAAGGTGAAGGACAACATCTATCGCCTCATCAAAGATCACAATTAAATGAATTATTGAGTCATTCAACTATCTTCCAACCAGGGGGAGAAGAAACATCTTTCATAGAACATTGAATTAAAACTGGAAACCATTCCCCAGTAGCTGTACCACCATACAGAATGAACCTTGCCAAGAAAGAAATCTTAAAGCAAGAAATTGACAAACTCTTATCTGAAGGAATAATTGAAGAATGTGAATTCCGTTATGCATTCCCAGTTGTTTAATTACCAAAACCAAATGGAACAGTGTGCCTCTGCATAGATTACCAGAAATTGAACGCAATTACAGTTTCGGATATGCATATATATATAAGTATCCACTTCCAAGAATGAATGACCTGTTACATGAGGCAAAACCTACTCCTTTCATATCGACCCTTGATTTTCATGCAGGTTATCACCAAATGAAGGTTCGTACTGACGATCAAGACAAGACAGCATTTGTGTGTCCCTTTGGAACATATCATTACTTAAGAATGCCCTTTGGTCTTCGGAATGCCCCAGCAACATTCCAGAGATTGATAGACCATTTTCGCAATGGACATCCTAACCCTCAGCTATCTGGACCACATAATCATTTTGTCGGAATCGTTCGATAAACACCTTTCCGATCTCAAAGCTGTTTTCGAAAGTCTTTTGCTCTTCAAACTGCACACAATCAGAGAGAAAGTGCCACTTCGCTTCTTCTCATGTGAAATATTTGAGATTTTGGATTACACAAAAAGGAATCGAAGTTGAACCAGAAAAAGTTTCCCCTATCCAGAGAATTCCACTTCCCAAAAGCGTCAAGGAACTCCAATCCTTCCTTCAAACGTGCTCTTGGGGTAGACGATATATACAAAACTTTGCAGAAATATTGCGACATCTTAGTGATTTGACAAAGAAGAAAGTGCAATGGGAGTGGGGTTTCAACCAGCAAAAAGCATTTGAAACTAAAAAACTGCCTCATACGACCTCCTGTGTTGAAGCAAGCAAATGGAACTCAACCCTATATTCTTCGCCGAGCTTTGGAAGGGTCCAAAAAAAAAAAGAGCGCCTCTCCCTGAGAGAAAAAACATCGAGGATGATGAGAAGCCTCGCTAGTATGGGTCTGCCCAATTCCGTGGTTAATCAAAGGATCAGAAGAACTATAGCTCGAATAAACCTTTAAGTGGCTTTTGAACCTCAAGTCTCCAACAGAAGAGTTTCTCGAAGCGCTTGAAATTCAGTCTCCTAAGTACAACTTCCGGGAAGTCAAAACTTAGCTTGCTGTCCTGTCAAGTCGAACGAAGTTCAATATGTATAGTTGCCCACAAGAGTCAAACCATACCATAATCCCAAGTTAAAGATGAAAACTTAAAAGATTTTAGAAAGTTTCCCCATCAGAAAAACTTAAGAATTGTGCCAAGCTGGACTGAACGGGGATTCATAAGAATCAGGTGTTCCCTTGATGTGTCCTGACTATTTCAGAAGAGGCCCAGTTAGTAAGTCCAACTGCTGAGCATGAATCCATCACGTGAAAGCACCATGATGAGCCAATGGCTGGACATTATGGAGAGGAAGGAACATTCCAACGAATTGCCAGGCACTGTTATTGGTCTGGTAGGAAAAAGTACATATCCGACTATGTGAAAAGCTGTCCTGAATGCAACTACTACAAGTCTACCAACCAAAAGCCAGCTTGACTGCTGAGAACCCCTTTCTCAGTGTTTTGAGATCATTGGACAACTGCAAAAAAGTGACACCTGAAAGCAATATATCTTCATTGTCGCTTTCCTCTTGCTCAAGCTACAGCATGCGACTGCACTATAACCCTCATCAAAGAAGTATTCATGTGCCCTGGTATACCACGAAGAATCATCAGCGATAACGGAACCCAGTTTATCAGTGCCGTTATGCAACAAGTTTGTGAATTAAGTATCAATCCAAATTGATACCCAGTTATTCCTCATCAAATCCTGTGGAACGGAAAATAGAGATTAAACTCGCTTAAAACCTGTAGAGATGTGCATCGCATTTGGCATTCAAAGCTTCAGTTATTCGCTTCGCTATGAATACGCCCTCGGTGACAGTACAGGCCATATACCACCAGTATTCCTAATGTTTGGAAAAGAACTGAGGACTGTTGATGACGACATTCATGATTTCAAAGCTGTGGTCGAAAATGATAACTTTGTTCTGAAAATCATCCTTATCTTAAAGTTTGCAACTAGTAAAAAGGAACATTACGAGGGCATATTGAAATAAAGCAAGATTAACATAAAAAGTGGTATAATAAAGGAAAGCGACAAGTGTTTTATGCACCAGGTGATAAAGTATGGGTCAATTTACATCCCGTTAGCGAACCAAAAAATAAAAAGACTTCAAATTTCATACCAAAGCTTGACAGTTCATATTTTGTAACGATACAGAAATCACCTACTTCCTATGTCATTTCAAGCCTTCATAAACCATCCGAACCGTTACGGACATACCATATATCTGCACTAAGACCTTTCAAAGACTCGTCCACTTCTCCCATTCTTCCGCTCAGAAAGACAGGTAGACCGCCAAAAGTTACTTTGCATTCCTAAACTAATCAAGAACTTATGGTTCAAGCATTGCTTCAAAGACAGGTCCCTTTGCCAAGGAAACCCCCCCTCCCCCCAAAAAAACCTGAGATTATGGACAATATTACAAAAGGCTCCCAAATTTTCTATCTCCTTGCCGGGATATCAGCGGATCCAGAGGGGTATTTGTAAGCAATCCTTCAACATAAACTATTGGTGTGTGTGATTATGGCAAAGCCTCAAGGGCTATCTGCCTAAGGGGAGGAATGCCTTTGTGGAGGACTTTCTAAGGGAAACTGGCTTGTATACACGTTACACATGGGGAAAACAACGAAAACGCCCATGCAGCCAGCCCGTTCACGGGATTCGAACCTCGGATCGAACCAGGTTCAGCGACTTTACCGCTCGGCCGCTGGTGGGCCATAAACTGTTGGAGTAACTGGTGACAACAAGGGTGCCCTCTGGTGAGTAGCCAGAGAAGTACTTCAGTAAAAGCCAAGTGTCTAACCTGATAGGTTGTATCAAATCCTTGCTCTCGAAATGTCCATGTGTAACTTAAAAGTGTTAATAAATACTTGTTACACTATAAAGGAGTCTTCTATGTCCCTATCCAAAACGAACCCCCTTAATTAGTTTTATTATGTAAAAGTATGGTTTAGTATTTTAGTTGAGTACAAATATAATGAATAAAGAGAAAATATAAATAAATAATACACAAGTAAATAAAAGCTCAAAAATATAATAAAAATCTTAATTTTACTTTAGAAATTATAATCAATGCTTGAATGTAATCAGGAGCTTTATATTATCAAAGATTTAAGAATTGCCCAAAATGTACGTATCAACAAAACAGCCACCATAATCATCTTTTAGATGGCTTTAAAATGAGGACTTATCTTTTAGTTGATAAAGAACTTGCTTGATATGCTTCTTATGAAGAGATACCTTTTAGTTACCTTTTTAACCCTCCGACCGGTCGGGGTTTTAGTTTAGAAAGCACAAATTTCCCAAAACTACCAAGAGAAAAATTTATTTTCTTGATTAAATTAAAAATTCTCCTGGTATTTTATACCTGGATTTGTTTGCTATTAATATATTGCCTTAATTTCTTTTACAAATTTTAATATGTGCATATATATGCCCTCACAGATATCACAAAAGTATTCTAGGCCGTATACATACGTCCTTACCGGTTAAAATGCATTAGCAGTTGAATTTGAAATCACTGTTAAATTGAGTGAAAATGAATATTACTTAGAAGAATTATATTTATTTTTTAACCAAAACACCTTATAGTTTAATTTAGTATACAAAATCCTGATATGTGATAAAGATCTTCCATTAATTAATTGCTGCTTTTATTAGTCTTTTCAAAGTATATTTAATTTTGCATATATATTACAATTATTGTATATTATTAAGCTTAGATATGTGTTTATTTTAAATTGCAGGTTGAACAGGAAGATGCTAAGAGCGAAGCAGGATCAGATGCTGAAAGTGAAGCTGGAAGTCATGGGGCTGCTGAGGATGAAGCTGAAGAAGTGACAGAAGCTGAAGCAGCAGCAGAAGAACCACAAGATGAAGAGGAACCTGATGGTGAAGATCTTGATGAAGAAGATGAAGAGGCGAGTACTTCATTAGATTCTGTGAATCCTGAGAAAAGCATATATGTTAACTAGCTTTTTTGTAATGCTGAAAAGGCATAAAATCTTCTGGTACTTGGGATGCAAAATTTTTTTATGATGCGTAAGAGCAAAAAACAGGAAAATGCAATATAATGAGCCCTAGTTAAACTATTTAGGAAGCTAGATTGCCTTGTTTGGCTAGGAATCTTAATTTATGATTAACATGCTCAAATCTTTGTGTATAATATGAAATATGTTTCTAGACTGTTGCATTTCTTCAGAAATATGCTGTTTTGCTTAACAGTAGAGAATGTGGAAGTTTACATTCATGGAGTTTTACTTCTTAAATGATTAAATTTTATGGACTGAAATTTGTGCACCTCTCTCTCTTCTCTCTCTCTCTCTCTCTTTTTTTTTTTTTTTTTTTTTTTTTTTTGAAAGCAGAGAGCTGTAAAAATGAGAGAACAACAGTGTGTGAAGTGCCAAATTTATGCATTTAAAAAATGTTTTAAGGAAAAACAGATCACTGTTCGTGCGGAGAAAACACTGCCATTCACACAAAAAATACATAAAATTCCTTGAAAAAATAAGTTTTATTATGGATGCTTCTTGCTTTTTAAAAAATTTGATTGATTTATTGCACTTTAGTAGATTTTTTAAAATGGTTGTTGCCTTTTGCGTATTAATCAGCAACAACTTGCTGACTTTCTGGTATGTATGCAAACTAACCAAAAAGTACACTATGCAAAAACAAGGGGAGCAGTTTTATATCTCTTGTTCTGGGCCAGTTGATGAAATTCAACTTGCATTTTTCAGCTCTCGAAAGTGGGAGTTTGTACATATATTAGATTTATATATAGCAATTGTTTTCCATAGTTCCATTCCACGACTCAAATTACGCCAAACTACCGAGTTTTGTAAAAATCGCACGAGTATTTTTTAAAAAATTACCTCGCAAAATTTTTAGCTCTCATGTTAATTGAGTTTAGTAGATATAATCTCTTTTTAGTACACAATTTGATTTCCTTCCAGTTTCGAAATTCAGATTCATTTCAAAAAAATTACCCATTTTTATGATTTATTTTTAAATTGTATTTGAAATAATTTTTATAAATTTTTCAAAAAATTTGAATTATAATCTATAACATTTTTACCATCATTTTAAAGTAGACGTATTTCTAAGCATACCTGCAAAAAATTACAATTTTTAATTCAAAATTTCCGAATATGTACGTGAATTTATATATTGGCCTGTTTTGAAATTTGGTGTATTTGTTGAAAGCGATAAAACATCAGATGTGATTTAGACACTTTGCTATAATTATTTGAAAGTAAGAATGAAGTGCCTTTTTTTCTGCTTCGGCGTAATGGAAAGGAAAGGAAAATTGGTTGCCGTATATTAAGAAGTTCGCCGAGTGAATTATTCTGGCACAAACTGGAAAAATTGTCCCAAGATAAATTTTTGAATTTCTCCGTAAATTTCGCACCAAATTTTACAAAATTTAATATCTAGGCATAATCGGAGTCGTAGAATTGAAATAGGGAAAAAAAGAGGTATGTTATTTCAGAAAAAGTCTGATTTTGTGTCGAAATATCTATGATAGAACAATGCTATATATAAATCTAATATATATCCTAAGTCCCGTTTTAGAGACATAATAAAAACAATTTGGATTTTGTCAATTGGCCCAGTAGAATGGAAGTGTCCTTTCTTTTTTAACCGCTTGCCTGATTATCCCGAGTTATCTTGGGTTTGTGTTTACTGCAGTTAATTATTATCGCAAGAAAACTCGGGCGATGCAGAATTTGTCAGTATGATTTGTTTTATCATTGTTTTACTCAGCCTGGAGGAAATGAATTAAAATATTCAGCTTTGATTAGCAGTTTGCCAAGTTTTGTTGGTTTCACGGTTCTTATGGCAGGACTGGTCACATATTTTCCTTATTGTATAGTATACGTCGTCGGCTTCTGGATACTGTGTAAAGAAGGATAGTTGCATTAAAAAAAGTAAAATAAAGACAATGATTTTTCAGATAGTGATTATGAATAGGTGGATATTGAAAATAGTCCATATTTTGTTCCTGGTACTGAAAAAAAATCAAAATCCAATGAGTCAGTATACTCTCTGCTCTCATAAAAGAGATTCGAAAGGTAAGCCAGTAAGAAAAGAGACCAGATACCAGTATACAGAATGTCGGGTGTCACTTTGTGTTGTCCCTTATTTCAAAAACTATCATGCAAAGACTAATATTTAACTTTTTTCATTTACCTGATATAACGCGGGATAGTAAACTAATATTAAAAATAAATGCTTTTACACCTTTAAAAATTCAACTTAAAAACCTGCATATTTTGTTTGTTTCGTTTCCTTGTATTTAATAATAAAATTTAAAAATGTGATTTTTTTCAAAAAAAATTTGTAAGGGAAGTGGTTAAAATTTTTTTTAAAGCCTGAATTTGGGTTAATTACAATGTTTTTACATTTCCCTTTGAATTTAAATTAACTAGGTCTGCTAAAGTTACTATTGAATTAAAAATATTATTGAGAAGCTTTGATTCAAAATTTTGAACTATAATACATTAATATTGTCTAGGATGATGAAGAAGATGAAGATGAAGATGATGACAGAGGAAAAAGGAAGCGTAAAAAACCTCGTTTTGGAGGCTTCATTTTGGATGAAGCTGAAGTTGATGATGAAGTGGAAGAAGAAGAAGAGTGGGAAGAAGGAGCTGAAGATATTATAGATCGTACTCGGCCAAATGAAGAAAACACTTCAAGAGATATTGACAGCCACCGGAGGCTGCAAATGATGTGGACGTAAGTTATTTTAGAATAATAGTTTTGAATTTATTTATTATAATTTTATTTATTACCATGTACCTTGATCAGGAGGGGGGGGGGGAACTGAAGAGGATGGTATTGGGTATGGTTAATAGAAAATATGCCCAAATCCTATAAATACAAAGGTCGATTTAAGATGTATATTGTGCTATAGGCCACAAAATATATTTTCCTGAAGTAGTGTTCTTGAAATAATAAACATGGGCTTTTCTAGTAGTTAGTTGCATTTTTTCAACAACTTTAAGAGATCATTGCTTACAATTTTTAGTTTTGTGTTAGAGTGTATTACGTGAAAATTTAATAAATATTTGTCTGTAAAACCTCACTGTGATTCTATGCTGCATATACCTTTTTATAGCATTCTTAGATAAATACTTAATTTTTATTAAATAAAACAATCACCAAAAGGTTTTTTTTTTTTTTTTTTTTTTTTAATTCTGTGCAATTGCTGTTTAATTGAAGTTTTTTCTGAAGTACCTGATTTTAGGTATTCTTTGCTATAATAATATTTTGATAAGTCTTTACAAATATTGACTTCAGAATGTTAATAACTGACTGATTAGTAAATTGACTGATTGCATCAATTAAAAAAATAATTGAGAATTAAGATATGAATTATATATAAAAAAGATACTCCAAAAGAAGTAAGTAAATTTTAATTAAAATTGACTTTTGCCATAATTACTGAAATAAGTACTCTTTATTTGAGTACAACTTTATTTTAGTAAGTAGAGTAATTAATAATAATTAATACAGTAGTTTAGTATAGGTCGGATGTATTTATTTTTCTTGCAATGTTTTTAATGCACCTCATGAGCTGAATTTCTTTCTGCTCATTGCAGTTTCAATGGATGTTCAATTATAATTTGGCCAATTTACTTGCAGAATTTTCATTATATTAATTTCATGTGTACTGAATTTTTAACTGTTTTTGTTAAACTGCAAATTTAAACAAACATATTATTTAATTGCCCTTTGAATTTTAGATCTCAAAAAGAAGATGAAATTGAAGATTATTATAGACGAAAATATGCTGAATCCTCAGCTGTTGAAAAAGGCTATGGGGATGGAGGAGATCATGAATTGCCAGATGAAATTGCTCAGCAAACTCTTTTGCCTAGTGTAAAGTAAGTAAAATTTTCTTGGCATTTGCTTGTTTTTATTGTATATTATAGAAAAGTTGTATTCCACTTAAGCTCATAAATGTAAAGATGTTCATAAATGTAAAGATATTTTTAAGAAATTATGTAATAACATAAATTTTAAATATTATAGCTCATTATTGGGCAAGATAGCAGAAAGGAATTTTTGTGGATTTTGTAATATTTAATTTTGAAAAATTTTTAGTAATCCTGTACCAAAAAATATTTTTAAAAGTTAAATTGGTATTTCATTGTTTAATATTAAATTTTTGTGGAATTGGAGAAAATCTCAAATTACCATTCCCTTAATATTTAATATTGTTCATTTTAGAAACATGTCTTAGTTGATAATTTTTATTTTATACCAGTTTTGGTTAAAGAAACATATTTATTAAACATTTATCATTAAAGCAGTTTTATTCATATGAATATTTAAGAAAAGGTATTTATTTCATGATCAGTATAAAATTCCAACTGTACCTTAACCAACTATAACCTTACACTTTATATTAATCTCCATTCCATAATAAATTTTGAGTGAAATATTTCTAAAAATATGTAATGGGTATTACAAAGTACTGTTAACATTATTTAAAACAACTATGTTCTTGGAGAACATTTTGAATTACATCTTCATGTGACAGTTCTGTCATCTAAAACAGCATATCAAATCTTGAAATTGATAGTATTTTTAAGCAACATATAAAGAATTTATTATAAAAGGTGTACGTATGACATGCGATATGGAACTGTATATTTTCATGAAAATATGGTTATTTATTACTTATTTTTATAAATTTATGTTTGAATTTTGTTGGAATATTTCTCCGAAATATTTTTTAACATCAATACAGATTGTTTCAGGTATTTATTAAAGAAACACATAACAGGTCTATTTATCATCTGAAATATTAGTATTGTTTTTTAAATAGCATTTTAATGAAACAAATAAAGTAGCATATTTTATATTTTAATCAAGAAAGGAAATCAAAAGTAGAATTGTTGTTAAATCTTTAAACATCCAAATGCTGTAAAAAAAAAAAAAAAAAAAAAAGGAAGAGGACACCCAAAATTAATTTATAAGTTGTTTTAAGAATTTTTATCATTTTTTGGTGCATTTTTAGAGGGAGTTGATTAATTAAGAACTTAACCTTCCTTACACTACAGATGTTTCACAGTATAATTCCTTTTTATCACCTTTTGGTAGTAGTCATATTCATTCTGTACAATATACAAGTATTGACTCAAAAGCTTCTGAAAAAAATATATTTGAATATTTAAGGCATATGGAAAAATTAAATTATAGAAATTAATTATAGTAATCATCGCCTTGTGCATGAAAGAAAAAGGGGGAGTCTTAAATTTACTTATTTGCTTTCTTATTGCATTACGAAATATTAAAAACAAACATTTTTATTTGTTACAGCAAAATCAAAGGGTAAAACAAGTAAAAAACAAAAAGTGTAAAACAAGATTAAATATCTCAGATGATCTATAAATACACATGTTGCATGTTTGTTTGTGTTGTTATTAAAAATGCATTTATTTTAAAAAAAGTGTTGAGATATATTAAGGAATATCACATAAATTATATAAAAAAAGGGCAAGAATAATTTCATGAAACTCTACCATTTTGTGACACTCTTTAGGTGCACTTTTATAATATTGTTACGAAATGCCCAGCTGCAGTAAGCAGGTTTAGGGTTTCCAGAAATTGGCAAGAAAAGGCAGGGTTGCCAAATCGCCCATTTGGCAATATGCCATAGACGCATGGAGAACCTTCTAGAACAAATTCTTACCAGTTTGGAACAGAATGTTCTCGAAGGCAGCCCAGAAGCTATATAAAACCTGCCTGCACACGGAGTCAGTCAAACAGTGCCTCGTCTAGCGAGTTGATTGTCAGTTTAGTGTTGAGAGTATCGCGAGTCTATTGAGTGCAACGCGAGTTGTAGTATGGAGTGTCCCAAGAGTACAGTTCTGAGATCGACCAAACAGAGTCGGGAGCTGTACTCTGGTTTTTTTGCTATAAAGCTGTCTTCACGGTTATAGACTGATTCTACGGTTGATCTTTACATTATGGTAACTTGGCGTTTTTTTGGCGAAAATTTGGCGACCAAATCTCTTACAGCAACCCTTTTTATTTCCGCCGCCATTTTGTCTTCACGAAGTAAAGACATGTTCTTTTTTTTATCTACTGAACATTTCTTCCAACAATCTACTAGCCGAATTACCTTATGCTAGAAATTTTATCAAACAAAACTGCTTAATCATGACAAATATTCACTGCAAAATTAGGAAAAAGTGCACAATACCATACTCCTTACGCGTTTTTCAAAAATAACACATACACATAAACCATGTACACGCCGACTATTTTACTTAAAAAAACATCCCAGAATTGCACAAAAATGGCATGCGCACACTCTTCACTATATCTAGGTACACTGCTTTTTTCTCATAAATTAGAAAAATTTCACGACAAATACATGACAATTTTCTCAATCTTTAAACCCGTTAAAAAGAACATATATGAAATTACCTTATCGCAAAAAATTATTTACCCTTTCCAAATATGAAACATTTCCACATATAAAAATAAATAAAATATCCAAAAACTTTTACCTAAATCATCTATTACTTATACACGTCACCAACGAATTCATACCGCAAGCATTACAAATACTTAGTGTCAGAATTCAAATATTTCCATGCACGTTTACTTCAACTAAAACGTATACCAAATTCCTACAAACATAAAATTCACAAAATAACTATCATTTTAATTAAAAGATAATAAATTCAAAAACACTACTTAAAATATAAATGAGCACATACATTAAATTAATACATACATAAATCCCATTTCGAATTCACTTTACATAGGGCCATGGGATCCAAAAATTAATCAACACTGTTTCACACAACACACTATGAAGCTAAATACAAAATGCTAAACGCAATAAAAATTTCCAGATTTTTCCCGATTTCCCCCTTTTTCCGATTAAAGAACCGTAATTCGTCCATTAATATCATATGACATATCCCATGATCTCTCATTTCCCTCACACAAAATAATGCGTAATCGGAACTGAGTACTGCTCACATTATTACCAAAGTGCCAGGTAGTAACCTTTATAGCCTCCAAAATGTCTCCAAACTACCAGTTACCATATTGTAAAGATCAACCTCAATATCTGTTTATAGAATTAAAGAGAAAGTATTATCACATAAAAAACGAAGCAACTTAAACAACTTACATTGAAAGAAATGTTTAATAAAGTAAACAAATAAATATTAAGCTTTTATTTCATAAATTACAGTTTCATATTTTTTATTTTATTATTTCTGCATGCCATCTTACCAGATTTAAACTGATGAACTATAATTCGGAATCGCCAGAATCCCGACGAGTCCGGATCAATTTTTGACTGTAGTTTGTTCTAAATTAAATATGTGATGGATTTTAAATTTACTTATTTTAATTTATTTTACATTATTACCCCCCACTTGTTGTAGTGTGCAACTAGATTGGCTTTGAACTGCTTTTACTTTGTATTTATGTGTAGACACACATGCATGCATGCATATATATAACGTAATAATTGGGAACTGAAACTACCATTGTAAACCCAAACTTTTCTCTTTGCGTGCTTCCATCTTTCATAACTACGCACTTCAGCTTCTGTCTGTGCTGTGCTTGGACCCAATTTTGCTATGCTACTTCCTATTGCAATATTGTCAATAATGTAAATGTTCTTGAGCAGGCACGATTAGGGTGCCGAGTGATCTGTGGCCAAATAATGTCAGTTGGAAATAAAAATGGAATTAAACTCACCTCCACTGCCAAGTTTTTAATTACGAAGTCAACACATTAGCTTACGACTCAATCAGAATACTTCCTCTTCAATATAGCATAACTACGCATCAACAGTGCTGTCTTTTCCTTGCTTTTATTATGGCACATATATACACTCACACATGCATACATACATACATACATACATACATACATACATACATACATACAAATATACATGTTTATTTATTTAGAAATTATAACTTCATATTACTCTTCTAATGGTATGTGTAACTATTTTAGGGATCCTAATTTATGGATGGTGAAATGTCGCATTGGCGAAGAGAAAGCAACTTCTCTGTTGCTTATGAGAAAATTCATTGCTTATCAATATACAGAGGAGGTAATACTTTGAAAAATTTTCCAACTGTTTATTTATTGCTTCATTTTTTGCACTGTTACTTATTGCTTCATCTATTTACCATGATTTAAAGAATTTTGTTATAAACTGTAGATTTAGTCAAAAGATTCCTGCTATATTTGATTGCCAACCTTTTTCAACCAATGTAACTTTTTAATGATGTAAGATCGTTTGGTAAAATAAATGTTGTGATGCTGACTGCATATTATCATGTAACAAATGAATTTATTCCACAGGAATAAAAATCTAATTTTTGAATTTAGAAATGTCTGCAAGTCATTTTTCACAGTACATTGCTGTCTTGAAAATATTTATCTTTTAGGAAGTTATTGAAAGAAGGAAAGCATTTTTAATTTAGAAGAAATCAGGAATGAATGAAGATGAATCACTCGCATGAATACTAAAATTTGCACAATTTTGCAAATATATGGCACAAAATTAAAAGTAGCACAGAATCTTTCTGGGTAGCTTATGATTCATATAATCATTGGTTATTAAAGTCATTTTGCTCAAATTTAAATTTCAACTAAATTCAAACAAGTTATAAAATTTATTTTCTGTGGATAATCAAGCATGAATTTTGTGGGGGAAAATGATACTTAAAGCTATTTTTAAACCCTTGCAGAAAGTAGCCTTCGAATGACTAAAAGCATTCTTCTTCACTGTACACAGTTTAGAAGATAACTGATTTATAAAGTTTTGCTTTGACACATGTTATATGTATCTTTATTTGCAGATGGGTGTATTTCTTCAAAAATCAAACATTGTGATTCTCTAAAGACCAACTGTTGATGTTTCTAAACTTGTAGTGATGTTGCTAATAGATGGTTAGATCTCCTTTTGTTTTGAATACAGGCCATTAACCTACAGGATAGTTTCTTCACCAGGTTTGGGTAAACTTAATGCAGTTTCCAGAATGTTATAAGAATATTCTGTTTTCTTCTTATAATTTCTGTACATCTGATAATCATGATGCTGATTGACTATGTTTATCAAGCATGATGGAGAATTAAGCATTAGCAGGTATGAAAAGTGATATTTCAGCAGTTGTTTAACTATGAAAAAACTGCCATTCATTCTCAGGCAGTTAAACCAATCACTGGTGTGTGTTTTTAAACGAGATGGAAATTATTTGTGATATTTTGCTAACATTTTCTGATAATTTGAATTTAGAGCATACTGAAAACTTTTATCAGCCGTGATTTTTTAAAATTATTTTTTCCTTGAGTAATGGTTTGAATTTTATGTTTCTATGGCTTTTTCTCAGCTGTAATATTGCCAACTGTAAGTAGGGACACTCAATGTGCAGAAATTTCTCCAACTGAGTGATCAGACTCTTATCTTTATTATAATGGAAAGCATTTCTATGGCATAAATTGCTTTCCTATCATCAACATCTTTATTATGTCATTCACTGTATCCATACTATTTAAGTGATCTTGTTTGGAGCTAATGGGTACCTATTTACTTTCATCTGTGTAGTTTATATGTGGGAAAAAATTTTAAATAGTAAGTAATTTTCTACATATAACTCTGTGGCAATTTAATAAAAATTAAAATTCATATTAATAGATGTATAGATAATAGATAAAATGTATGAAATCTGAAGATTTTGGAGGATTTATATATATATATAATATATATATATATATATATATATATTCCAATATTCAAAATCTAATGCCAAAATAACATTTTTCACAGATGTTAATTTTGAAAGAACTTCAATAAAATTTAAGTGAATTTGTGATTGATATTGGGAAATGTAAGTTATGCTTTGAATTTTAAATGTTTTTTTTGATTGACTTTAAAAAACATATTTCTAAGTGAGCTTACTTTTTCATTCAGCCTCTGCAAATCAAAAGTGTTGTGGCTCCCGAAGGAGTGAAAGGTTATATCTACATTGAAGCTTATAAACAAACACATGTAAAACAAGCAATCCAAGGTGTTGGAAATTTGAGAATGGGCCAGTATCAGCAAATGGTAATAATTATGAGTAACTGTATTTAATGTAATCTTTAGAAAGTGTTGCTTCAGATTTTAAAAGCGTTATAGTTTTATTTTTCATTATTTATTTTCTATCTCATCAGCAGTATATTATCAACTGTTTGATTAAATCTAAGTAGATGGCAGATACTATTGTTATTTCTAAGTTACTGCTAAAGCTATGAATTATATATAGAGAATTATTTTTTCATTTGGTTACTTGTTGTTTGCTGTATTAAAGCTTAAATACTCACCTTTTAATGTTTACTGTAACAACATAAACAAGGTTTTTTATTATATCTTATTTTTGGTAGCTTAAGTATGCACTCTACATCAGATGATAGGTACTTAATGTTGTCTTTTCAGAATAAATATGAATGAACACAAATAAAGAAACCTAGTCAAAAAAAAAAAAAAAAAAAAAAAAAAAACCTTAATTTCATTTTATTGGGTTTCTTACCTAAAAGCAGATTTTGTTTCTTGAAGGAAAGTGATGTTCCAAAATCTCTTGAAAGGTATGAAAATTTTCTTGAGACAAATCTAAGTTTAAGGCTGAATTTTACTGAATTTTAAATTAACATCTGTCATTGTAATAATTCTATTAAGAAAGTGAGACTGTCAGAATGTTAAATAAAAAATATTAATTTATGACAAGTGTAACTACAAGTGACTACACGATATAAAAATATGCAACTTTAACATTATATTTATGATATATCGCAACTTTCTTGAATAGCAAAATGTGCAGCTGTACCTTAATCTTGCTTACGGTTTCATTTTTATGAATACTAATGAAATTATTAGAATTGATTTAAATAGTATTTTATAGTGTTCTATGAGACAGTCTTAGTTATCTTTTTTAAAAATAGAGCAGTATTTTAAAAAAATGAATAGAATTTTTTTTTTTCAAAAAGTAAATGGTATAAAATTATTTAAGAGTGATAATTGTTATAAAAATTGTCTTTTTAAAGATATTCAATGATTGAGAATTCTTCAATGGAATGCCAATGGATTTTTCTCAAGAAAAACAAGAACAAACACAGTTCCAGACTATCTTACGGTCGTGTGACATTGATGTTTTTATGATAGTGGTATATATATTATTTAAGTAAATATGACTTCCCTGCATTTTATTTGAAACTATTACCTAAAATTAGGTGTAATGCTATGGTCTTTTAGTTGCCATTTTAACTTCTAAGTTTGAAATTATTAGTGACCTTTCATCCAATAGTTGAGCTGAGATGGTTCGAGTCGATGATTGTAGTTATCAGAAGCATTTAAAAATTTTTAACTGTTATAGTTCACCTGACAATTCTAGGTTAAATTGTGATAACATTCAATTTTCTAATAAAACAGTTTTATATGGAGATTTCAGTGCACATAGTTTACATTGGAACTATGGAGACACAAACAGTGCAGGAAGAGCTGTGGAGGACCTCTTGGATTTCAGTACTCTTGAATTGATTTATAGAAATTCTGACACTCCTACTTAACCTGCACTATAAAACCCTGATATAACATTGGCTTCAAGTGACTTAGTGGATGAGGCGAACTGACAAATAATTTATGATCCTGGTTCTGGCCATCGCATTATTCTTACTTCATTCCGAGTTAACGGGAAAACCTCTGAACAATAGCACTATTTTAAGAAAAGGTGAAATTTTAAGCAGGTCAGCTTTAAGTTTTACTGGCACGAATTCAAATTTCTTTTTAGTTAGACCAACAAAGTATAGAAAAGAAAATCTAGATTCCTCCTTGTCGTATATTTTTGCAAGATCATTTCATCAGTGGTTAAATGTTGGATCCCTATAGGTAAACAATACAACTTTAAACCTTTTTGGGTTCGTAAACTTATGTTGTTTAAAGGAACAATCAGTTCAGGCCCATGGTAAGGCTGAAAATTCTAAAAACGAGGAAGATGTCAGAAATTGGAGAAAAGAGTATTGCAGCTATTCATAAAGAAATCAATTTAGTATTGCAGTTCTTCATTAAGAAACCAATTTAGTATAGTGCAGAGTGCTAATATTTTTATAAATAGTACCGATTATCATAAAGACAGTAAGGTTTTTAAATTTGTAAATAAATTGAAATGTGATGACCCCCCTTTCCCCAAGGGTGCCAATCGTTTTTAAAGAAAAGGCTTTAAAACTTGACAAGGATATTTCTAATGCTTTTATGAATTTTTATGCATCTAATCAGCACCTGAGTGGTAAACTTATGAGAGATCAAAAGTTGAAGAAATTGATCGGGGATTCCCATAGTACTATAGGAACTGGACAAGAGGTTTTTAATAGAGACTGATTTTTTTGGAATTTGAAGAAGCTTTTGATTTCCTAAAGATAGAAAACGTCCTAGCCCAGATAATATACATCCAGCGTTTATTAAACATCTAGGATATAATGTTCAAATGATCCTTCAATTTTTTTTTTTTTTTTTTTTATCGTAGTTCGAACTCCTGTGTATCCACTGTGTGGTAAACAAGCTATATCCAGGTTACATCATTCCACTGTCCAGCAGGCCTTTTATTTTAATCAAACCATTGAAGATTCTTTAGACAAACATTTGTCTGTCTTGACAACACTTATAGATTTTGAATAAGTTTATGATAAAGTACAGAGACTATTTACTCTTCAAAAATTACAGAACTTGGGAATAAATGGTAAGATGTTTTTATGGATTCAGAATTTTTTATCACAGAGTTTTTCTGCCATTATATATGGTTGTGACATTTCTAGATTTAAACAGACTGAAACTGGCCTCCCATAGGAAACAGTCATCAGCCTATTTTTTTAATGCTTTTATTAATGATTTACTGAACACTCTGGCACTGTCGGTGGATTCTGCTATTTTTGCTGACATCTGGAGTAGTGCTTTTAAAAAAGAAGCGGGATGGTTTAAATGAGACTCTTAATGCTCTGAAAGAACTGTAATATTGGTGCCTGAAAAATGGTATGAGAGTAAATCAGGATAAGAGCACTTGCCAGTTTCTTACATTGAACACACAAGTTTTTACCTTGAAGTTGACATATGAGAGTGCAGGTTTCTATGTAATGATTGATTAAATATTTGGGTTTTGATCCACGCTTGAATTGGAGGAAACCTGCAGAACATTTGAAGAATAAAGCCATAAAACATCTGTGTGGCTCAAGGTGGAGCTGTGACAGAGATACACTGATGACTACTACCAAATTATATGTTCAACCAATTAATTATTGGTTATTGTAGCGAGATCCTCATCAGGTTGGTATAGAATGTGGCCCAGATCCTCAAAATCTCCAAAACCAAGCATTATGCAGAATTACTGGAGCAGTGAGATCTATTCTTACAATGCAGCTTTTAACAGGTTTGGAACCTATTCATGATTTTATTACAAGAAAAGGGATCATATTATACCAGAATCGTATTATACCAGGAGAATTTCGAGAAATCTTAAAACAAATTGAATTTATCCACGCTGCTCAGAGATAATATGTTGTTTTTAAAATGAGCCAAAATTATCTAGTTTTACCTCCTTGTGTTATGGACTTTTTGAATTTGCATATAAATCTTGAATCTCTTATACAAAGAATTGTTGAAAATGAAATGAGAGGTTCACAATTAAGATCTATCACAGTGGAAACTATTGGAGTTCACTATCCTCAAAATGAGTGGATGTGGATGCGTGTCTACATTAATGACTTTATGTTATACAGAGAGCGTGCGCTGCTGGAGCAGATATCCATAGTGAGCTTTTTAGTTTCTACTTACCAGTGGGCCCTCTTTCTACTGCCTTCGATGAAGAAATCAAAGCAATTGCTGTGGCTATTTAACAACCGTCGATTCATAGACACTGTTTTGTAAAAGCAGTCATATTGTCAGAATCCAAAAGTGTGCTTCAAACTCTTCTGAATAATCAAAATAGTTCCAAAAAATTCTTAGATTGGACGTCTTTGCTTAAGGCACTGTCACACAGAATTTCTTTCCAGTTCATTCTAGCCCACTGTGGAACCATGGAAAATGGAAAAGCTGATACATTGGCTAAAAAAGGAACTCTGATAAAGCACTGCATTAATCGACCTCTTTCTTTTTATATGACAAAATTGTCTGTTAACTTGACTCTTAAAAAAATTCATGAATAGGATATGATTTAACATGTTATGGATAAGAGATGGAGGATTCTGGGAAAGAGAGAAATATTCCCAGTTTTCTAAGAAAGTGGTGGCTCTATTTAGACATCTGACTGGGCAAGGTTGTCTGCAAGAGCGTTTCTACAGAATTGGAGTGGTGGATTCCCCAAAGTGTTTTGTGTGATTCCAATCAGCCTGATTTTTTAACATTTAAATAGTTGTGTTACACTGCCTCAGTATGAGGACAGTGTTAAAAAGTATCAGAGAGCCCATGAACTAATGGCTTAGGTGCTAATGTTTGGCATTTGTAAAATAAAAATAAAATAATTGTTTAACCCTTTCAGGGCAGTATATAAAAGAATTTAAAGCATAGTAAAAATTTGCACGAATTATAACTTAATGAATCCAAGAACACAAAATTGAGACTGAAAAGTCTAGAGTGAAATCCTGAATTTTGACTATGTATATATTTTATATCGTTGCCCATCTAAGATATATATTTTTTTCCACGTAGCTGCCACTTCTTAATTTTTTTTAAAAAATCTAATTTTGCATACTTTTGATGTGTGTCTATAGAAATGGTTGCTTGAATATAGTTATGTAAATCTGAGGTCAAAAAGCTCTAAAATTTCTCTAGAAATTAAACACTTTAGAAATAAAATTAAAATTTATGTTTTTAGTCACTTTGATGATGCCACCCAGTTGAACATACTTATGTAAAATAATGCAAAAAGCTTCTGAAAGTGATTAAAATTCAATATTGTTATTTTGTGAAAAAATTTAGCAAATATAATGCAGCATGTGTATATCGTGTCATGTATCTGAAATAGCATAATGTTACAAGGCTATGTAAACTCAAGCTGAAAAATAAAAAGTTGAAAAATGAAACACTATGGTTGAGCCTAATAATTAAAGTTACAATTTTGAAGTTATTACATTTATGATTTAGATAATACATAAAAAGAACATGCTTCCTGCTGTGATACCAAGAACTGCCCTCTCGCATAATTTTGATTATTGGGCGCTTAAAGCCCCATTTTCAATATTTTTGTAAATATAGATTGTAATAAATCATTTTACTCCTGAAGAAAAGCCATTAAACAATTTTATTTTTGGATATCGATTTTCAAGCACTTAGGCTCCCTAGAGACCCCTTTTTAACTTTTCAGTTGAGGAAGTAGTAATACATAATTTTACTCCAGAAGAATATCTCCTCAATAGAGGTAAAGTACTAACACACCTCGAAGCCCTTATTTTCCAGTTGTCAGGCCTGTGAAAACGATGGAAATTTTTTTCACTTCCAAAGATAAATATTTTGTGACTAAAACTAGTCTTAGAAATATTTTCAGCTCTTTTGCCAACTGTGGAGATTTATTTCAAAAACTGCCTATTTGTGTCCTTACCCAGGAGAAAAATGTCTGTTCCTTAGTCTCTTATCTGAAATTGACTAAGACAATCACCCAAAGTATGAAAGCATGCTTTCAAATTAGTAGTTTTTTTATTCCACAAGACTGACCTAAAGTGCATGTCGTTTTCCTTTTGTTTGTAAGTCAGCTTCCCTTTGTGTGATTTTATTAAAATCCTGCTGTGGAAATAGCCTGAGCAAATTAACCATAAATTACCTCTTTACATTTTTCCTGCATTCCAGGCTTTTGGAAAGCATGAAGCGATTTGTGTCTTTCAGGGTTAACATGCCACATTTAACCCCTACAGTTGTGTAACGTTTTGAGGCCAGACAACAATTTTGAAATCCATGAGTTTTCTGGGGAAAAGGGTGAAGTGGTGAAATTAAAATTTTATCTAAACAGAGACAAACGAAAACTCGACTGGAGTAAGCAGAGTATAAAAAGAAATTAAAATACTTATATTCATTCCTAGCACAGGGGCATTAAACTCCCTATAGCCCCATTAACATAATATTTAATCGTAAATAACTTGTAAATTAATCGTAAACAACTTGTAGATTAATCGTAAGCAACTGTATCATTTTACATCATAAACAATTATAAATAAATTCTGTCAGCTTACAGAGTAGAGAAGAAACCTGATGCCAGGGTACCTTCAGTATGGGTGCTGGTATGTTTTATATACCTGCCTTAAAGTCATATAAATAATCTTCTATCAGGTTTGATTCAAATGCATTAAATATATAAGGTTCAGTATGTTTATGTCATATATTTGAAGATTTTGAATTTTCCTCTCTTCCAAAAGACGTGAAATCTTCAAATATGATACCTTTGTACAAGGTATATTAATTTCATAATCGCAAAATATTGAATAAGCACAGCCATTTGGAATTGAAAAGAAACCCTAGAAACTCAAGATTACAGGTTTTGGTTTATCAAAATTAGCATTTCTTAATAGGTTAAAAAATCAACAAACTTCTGGTGTATGATACCAGTGCCATTTAACACGTTGAGCGCCACGCGAATGTTTTAGGCTATCCCGTTCATGCCACGCACTTCGCTCAAAAGCGCTGGTATTGTAGGGCCAGTGATTCGTATCGTGGTAGAAGATAGCAACAAGTTGTGAAAAAGAAGACATTTTGTCGAACAAAATCAAGAAGAAACAAAAATGCAAATATCTAGAAAACGACAACATAAACTCCGAAGAAAACGGAAGAAAAGCGGAAAAAGCCTCTGAAGTACGAAAAAATATTGTAAATTATGTTATGATAAAAATGCAATAGAAGCTGGTAGAGTAATGGCCAGAAAAAAGAATAAAAGAGTGTTGTCAATTTTTTTGTAATAGCTGTAATGGAGAACCGTTTTTTACCATTACCCGTGTTTCAATGAAATCCAATGAATCAAAATTAAGTAAATTTTAAATAAATTTTGTGTAATTTCATTAAACAGTGTAAATTTTATAGTTATATATCATGTTACACGCTGTGAGCCAGCGGCGATCGATGCGGCCTAAACGAAAGGGTCTACTGTGAGTTGCAAATGGCTGACGAGACCTAAACGGAAAGTTTAGTGCAGCCACGGATGTCTGATGCGGCCTAAACGGAAAATCTAGTGTCAGCCACGTATGGCTCACGCGGCCTAAACCTAAAATCTGGTATCAGTCACAAATGGCTGACATGGCACTCAACGTGTTTAAGGGTTAATCAAACAGTTATGAAGCATACTGTCAGTCTTACTGCTGCATATTATTTGCTTAATTGTACTGTCTGTTATTATTAAATAACTGCTTAGAATGTAATTTACAGTTATTTTTGATTTAATTATTAAATCATTAAAATTTTATTTATATGATTTATTTTATAATTTTAGACATTGCATATCCAGTAAAACATTATAAACTGTGCTATAAATATCTTTAGAATATAATGATTTTTAGAGAATTATATATTTTAAACTTTATCATTTGCTGTATTTTCCATTAGATGGTTCCCATAAAAGAAATGACAGATGTTTTACGTGTCACCAAAGAACAAGTTCAATTGAAGGAAAAGCAGTGGGTGAGATTAAAGAGAGGGTTATATAAAGATGATCTGGCACAAGTAAATAAAATTTTTATTAGATTAAACAATTTACAAAATGCTTCTCAATCAAATGATATGCTTATAAATAAGATATTTATTATTATTGCTTGTCTCATTTTATGAATTAAAAATGCCTATTTTTCTTATGTATGTATATAATATTTTGTAGGTAGATATGTTGAATCCTGCTCAAAATCACGTTCTTTTGAAATTGATTCCAAGAATAGATTATTCCAAAAAGAGAGGAGCATTAAGATCTACCGTGAGTATTATTTTATGTTTTTTAATTTCAAGTGTTGGATAATTTATCACTGAAATATAATTATGTTTTAGTAATAGTCCATTGCATTGTTTTAATTTTCTAGGAACAAGAAAAAAGAAAAAAAGGTAGAAAGCCTCCACCTAAATTATTTGATGTTGATGCAGTAAGGTTAGCTTTATTTTTTGTATATTTATTTAAAATTTGGGTCAACAAAGTAAATTGATCTGTTAAACACTTTTGTATATTTTTTAATAGAGCTTTGGGTGGTGAAATTTCAACTGATGGTGATTATTTAATTTTTGAAGGAAACCGATACAGTCGCAAAGGCTTTCTTTTTAAAAGTTTCGCAAAATCGGCATTGGTAAGTTTGGTTAACATAAGAATGTGTGCCATACTGAAAGAATTTCTTGTTTTCATGTTTAATTTTAACTGTTTTTCTTACTCCACTAATTAGATTATAGATGGAGTAAAGCCAACACTCTCAGAACTTGAAAAATTTGCTGAGAAAAATGATACTGCTGGAATGGAAATTGAATGTATCCTTTACAATTATGTCTTTCAAATTTTAAGTTTTCCAAACTGTTGACCATTATCTCATTAAAATGTTAATAATGATGCCGTAATTTTGTCTCCATTTAACAGCTTTTCAGGACCAATTCATAGTTTACCTGTTGGTGTGTCACCTTTACAATATGTTGTTTCTTACGGAGGAATTCTCACAAATATAAATAAATATGCTGAATTCTGTGCAAGAAAGCATAGCACTGTTAATCGTCAATGGAAAAAAATTTCCTCCATAAAAGAATTATGGGCATTCATTACAGTCCTTCTCATAATGCGTGTTGTAAAATTACCAAGAATAAGTGATTATTGGTCAAATAACACAATGCTTGGAAATAAAATGTTGCAGAAAATGATAAGCAGAAAGAGATTTATGGAAATCAAGCATTATTTTCATTTGTCTGATAGGGAAACTGAAGTTAAAAATAGCAAAGAGAACTTTACATATGCACAAAAATTAGAGCCTGTCATTTTATATGTCAGAAACAAATTTCAGCAACATTTTGCACCTTATGAAGTATCAATCTTATAAATTGACGAAGCAATTAAAAATTAAAGGTAGGATTAGGGATGTGCAATATATGCCTATGAAATCAGCTAAGGATTGAACTTGGATAGATGGATGGATTTGCACATCTTGCTTCTTAGGATATACTTACAAATTGAACTTTATTGTGGTAAAAAAGATCAGATACCGAGGTCAGAAAAGGGTTTAGGATATGACGTAGTTATGCACTTAATAAAAGCACTTAAAAACAAAGGCCATGAAATCTATTTTGACAGAATTTTCACCAGCATAGACTTGATGTCTGAGTTATATAAATCTGGACAATTATCATGTGGAACTGTGATGACAAATCGGAAAAACGGGCCCGAGAACATCAAGCAAGTGAAGCTGGGAAATCAATACGACAGCGTAGTTATGCAATGCAAAAGCCTGCCAAATTTACTTTATTCATCCTGGCTTGATAAAAAATTGATACATATAATTTCCACAAACTGTAAAAAATGAACCATGTTTTACTACAAGTAGAAAAGGTTCCGAAAAAAGTATAGTACCATGTCCACTCGCATTTGTCAAGTGCAATAAGAATATGGGAGGTGTAGATCTAGCAGATCAGCATTGAAAATATTACTCAGCTTCTAGAAAAATCCTCGAAATGGTGAATGTATATATTTTGGTTTCTTTTAGACACAGCAGTGAATAATGCTTTTATAGTTCATAGAGTCATTAACTATCCAATCCTAAAGTGACCAAAGCAGCTATATGACTTCAAATTAGAACTGATTGAAGAATCCGCACCACAAAATCTGTTTCGAAAATGAACCTCAGGCATATTTTTGCCTAGTGCATTTCTTGATCACAAGCGTCGGAAAATTAATGGGTGAAAACGCACTAGTGTTCGACGTAAAGAATTAGGAAAAAAAAAAAACTTGGAGAGGTATATTGAAAGTTCTTGGGAGTGTGATATATGCAGAATGTGCTTGTGCAAAACATGCTTTTAGGCTTTGAATTTCAGTTGCTAAAATATAAAAAAAGACTCTTTTCAGGGCCACAAAAGGTCCTTTTCAGGGCCATACAATTTCAGGTATAGTTCTCTTATCAAGACCGGATTCAGAAATGTATATTTGTATGCATGAAGGTATGCATGTATGTATGTGTGTGTTCATGTATGCATGTATATGCTGTAAATAGGAATGTACGTGTGTATATACATAGACACATTTATGCATATACATACACAAATGCATATTTATGCACTCGTATATTTCTGATCTGGTTCCGATTACAGAACAGTACCCAATTTCAAAAAAGTGAAATCGTTATTGCAACATCATGAAAACGTGAATAAATGTGTAACATGGAATATATGTATATAAATACAGACACCTATGTATGCACATATCTAAGATTTATATGATTGATAATATGCATATGCATATTTACCTATAAAATATGAAGAAATAATAATATACATATATAACTAAGTTAATGAAAACATGGAAACACAATGACATTTATAAACACACTTTGAAACTCATACAATAAAAAAAATCATAAAAAATCTATAAACTAAGGTTTATTCCTCACAAAGATGGTATTAAACAACTGATCAACAAATAAAAAAGACCTTTATTATTTTTGGAAAGGAAAAAACAAAATAAACTAAAATGAAAAAAGTAATGGAACACATTAACTAAAAAATAGCAACTTAACGTGAAAAGAAAGAAAGCATATGAAGTGAAATATTAATCCTCTATTCAATAAAAGAAATAAGAAATTCCTGTAAAAATGAAATTTTAAAAAAGAAAATTATTTATTTATATTATATTCATCACGGGGTGTTAAAGTAGCCTATTGTAATGGCTTCACTGTTGAATAAGGCACCATTAAAAAAAAAAAAAAAAACATTTATTAAAATTAACGTTCAAAGAATAATAGTAAACTCGGAGCAGTACCTCTCTCCTACAACATAGCCAAATCTACCACCTTCCTCCTCTGAGGCTAGCATGCAACTGTCGTCTCTCTCACTTGCTGGGCTCTGGCAGGCAGCTGATTGACTCACCGTAGCCAGATACATGACACCCCCCCCTCGGTAAGATTGTTCTATGCCAAAGCGAAGCTAAATCCGAAAACTGAACCAGCAAATGAGTTCACAAACTTAAATTGTATACTCCACAAACCAATGCATAATAGTTAATACACTTATTAATATTTGAATCCTTTCACATTGAAATCAAAAATTAAGCACTTAAATGACATACTTTGAAATGAGTACAATAAACATTCATCTCACAACAGATGGCTTGATACAATACCAGGGTTCTGTAATAAAACATATATGCAATACTATTTCAAAACACAATATTATAATGCAACATTAAATGGAACCAGTATTTGTTTTTCAAACGATGGAAGTCTGACGAGTCCGATCACGTCGCCGAAGTTCCGACGATTTTAAAAACTTTGACTGATGGGGCGAAGCCGGGATGAAAAGACGACTTTAGTGGCCATGTAAAGTTTTGACAGGCCGATAAAAGGCAATGTAACACTTTATTGTATTTTTTTATAGTGGCCATAGAGTATCTCGTTCCCAGGCCGAAAAGTGGAGTGAAATGTCAAATTTGAATCTGGGGTTGGTTTTTAACCACTTATTCTTTTCAGGTTTCCTTTTGTTAATAGATGCACCCTCTGAATAACATTAAACACACACAAGAATCTTTGTTGCAAATAAAAGGGTGATTTCTTAAAGGGTAAAGATTTGTTCAAGATCTCCCTTTCTTTGGTAGCTTTTACTGCTACCAAAGCCCCGGCTTCAAAAGGTTAAATGGAAACCAGTAATCTGTTTTTCAAAACAAATGGAAAGTAGCTCCTTTACAATTCCGGAACAAAAGAAAAATGACTATGCAAAGTTTTTAAACATATTAGTTCATACTTAGTTCACAACTATTTCATTCACCAACTAGTCTTGAAAGACTATCTGCATTTTTTAATAGTGTACCAAGGCAACGAGAAATATGAATATTATAATCCTGAAGTGCCATTGCCCATCTCTGTAATTTGGCTGAATGCGGTGCCGACTTATGCAAATATAATAATGGATTAGGGTCTGTGATCAGCTCGATATCCGATCTAAACACCCAACACTCGAACTTTTTTAATGACCACACAATGGCATAAGCCTCGTGTTCAATAGTTGACCAGTTCTGCCGAGTTTTTGGAAGTTTTTGACTGGCAAAGTTAATAGGATGCAACTGCCTTTGCTGTCTTGTGACAAGCAAGCACCAACATTATATGAACTAGCATAACACTGTATGGTGTAAGGTTTTTCTGGTTCTGGAGTATACAGTTTTGGTGCTTCGCACAGTCTACATTTCAGGTTTTGAATTGTTGATTCCTCAACAGCAGTCCATGGAATTATCTCAGGAATTTTCTTTTTCGTAAGCTCTGTCAATGGGCGAGCTATTTCTGCATAATTCTTTATGTAATCACGATAATAGTTGAATAAGCCTAATGCACTTTTTAGAGCAGTCTTTGTTTTAGGACTTTTTATAAATTCAATGGCTAGTAATTTTTCAGGATCAGGTTGATGTCTTCCAGCTCTTATTATATGGTCTAAATACGTTATCTCCGAACGTGCAAAAACACATTTCTTTACGTTTACCATAAATCTGAGATCACTTAATGTAGTTAGCACAGCATCTAAATGTTTGAGATGCGAATTCCAATCTGCTGCAAAGATAGCAATATCATCAATACAAGCTTTGCAAAAATCACTATGTTTTCTTAAGGCATCATTCATCACTCACTGAAAAGTAGAAGCTGCATTTTTTAATCCGAAAGGCATCACCTTCCAACGGTATCGGGAACGATGTGGCTTGAATGATGTTAAATCACGACTTTCTTCTTCAAAAGGTATTTCCCAGTAACCTTTCAAAACATCTGAACAGGTGATAATATTCGCGTGTCCAATTTTATTGATTAGATCAGTCATATTCTCCACTGGAAAATCAACAAGCTTGGTTACTTGATTCAACAATCTGAAATCAATACATAAATGCATACTTCCGTCTTTCTGGGCAACACATACGACTGGGTATGCTATTTCAGCTTCACTTGGTTTAATAAGACCCAAGCTGTCTAATTCCTCGAACTAATTATCTACTCGAGGTTTCAAAGATTCTGGGATCTTATAGATATATGGTTTTTTTCTTTCAGCTCCAGGTACCAACCAAATTCTATGTTCATCAATGCTGGCTATTTGGATCTCACCAGAAAATAATGCGATGTGCTTGAGCAACAGCTCGTGTAATTCCTTTTGATTGCTTCCCTCTAAATGACTAATATCCACCTCGATCTCTCTTCTAGTTGCTGCGCAATCCACTTTATTTGGAGTTGGATGAATTTCCCCAAACTCAGAATCATCTTCAAATATCACTCCCACATTTTGTGCTAGAACATAAAATTTTCTTATTTTGTTTACATGAACATGCCGCATACTCCCATCAGGTAATTTAACCTTATAAGAATGGGTATTTACTCTTTTAACAATTTCACCTGGACCTGTCCAGGTGAAATATATAGCATGTTGCTATATATAGATATAGCATGTTGCTAGAGTCTGGTATAAGTAAATATACTAGATCACCATTTTTAAATTCTTTCATACATTTGCGACAGTTAAAATAATATGCGCAAGCTTCTTTTTTTTCCACGGCACCTTCCTCCTCTGAGGCTAACATGCAACTGGTCTCTCTCACTTGCTGGGCTCTGGCAGACAGCTGATTGGCTCACCGTAGCCAGATACATGACAACCCCCCTCGGTAAGATTGTGCTATGCATACCTGCCAACTTTTACGAATTTTTCATAATTTTTACGAAAATGCGTTTGTCTTTACAATTTTACGATCGTAATCCATTTTTTACGATTTTTTTTTCTTTTTTCAAGTGTTTTTAGTGATTTTTGTTGAAATTTTAGAATTTTTCGCCAATTGCATCGTGTTTTACCGCCAACTACCGACTACTTCGAATCCAGTAACCTACGGTTTCTCCCAACTCGCCGCTTAACCAGGCAATCCAATGCGCTGAACTTGTTTCTCTCACTCTTTTCTTTGTGGGCGCCAGATTATTTTTTTCGCATTCGCTTCAGCAGCAAGGGAATTACTCAGCGAGTGTGGATTGTCGCATCCTGTTTTGTTTTTTGTTTGCACGTGCTACAAATTTTTCTTAATACGTCATTATTACGAAATGAGTTCAAAAAAACCGTATTCTCAATATTTTCGGCCTGCCTACAAAGCCGAATTTCCAACAATTAAAGAATCCTTCAAAGGAAATAACTATGCATTTTGCAACGTGAGTGTGTGTGACTTCATAATAAGTCACGGTAGAAGAAGCGACATTGTGAAGCATGTTAAGTCTAAAAAGTTAGAAGTTAATGCTTCGGCTTTGACAACGTCAAAGAAAGTGGATGATTTTTTTTTCATTTCGGCTACGAATTCGGATGCCGATGTCATTTTGGCAGAGTGTTTGTTTACTGCATTCCTCATCGAACACAACGTGCCGCTAAGCGCTGCCGATCACGCCGGTCAACTTTTCAGACGGATGTTTCCCGACTCCAAGATTGCTCAAAAATATGCTTGTGCTCGCACGAAAACATCTTCTATTGTGAACGAAATTGCTTGCGATGCACAAAGTAAAACGATAGCTGCACTCCAGAATTCAGCATTTTCGGTGTCAATCGATGGCAGCAACGACAGCGATCGGAAGCTTTACCCCATCGTTGTCACATATTTCTGTGATCTTTCTAATGAAATGAAAACTCATCTTTTGCGTCTTCCATTGTTAAATGGAGACGCTACGGGGGAAAATATTGCCTCCTTGGTAATTAATGAGTTGAAACAACTTAACATCCCAATATCAAACTGCATTTCATTTCATTGGTGCAGATAATGCTCATGTCATGGTGGGTGACAAAAAGGGTGTAGCCTCTTTCCTCAAAAAAGAACAAAATGAATTAATTGTTATTGGATGCCCATGCCACTTAATTAATATGGCAGCAGAAAAAGCTGCAGCTGTAATTTCACACAGTAATGCTGAGTGCGAGAGAGTCTTCAGTGTTGTGAAGAAAAACAAAACTATGTTTTGTTCTTCAATTTTACCAAAACCTCTAGAAAACATTTTAATTGCTAAATGTTATGAGGAAACTAATTGTTATGACAGGAAATTTTCTAAAGAATTTTTGGCTAAAGCCAAAAAATGCACTCTAAATTCATTGCAATAATTTTTTTTGTGTAACATTAAGTTCTTGTTTTATGTTTCCTAATAAATTTTTTAGTTACTACTTAATTGAGATTTACTAATGCAAGTACAATTTTCTTTTTTCTATTTGTACAAATTGTTATTTTTTTAATATCAAAGAATGATATTAATTCTTCGTGTTCTTCCGAATTTTGGAGAAATCTTCTGAATTTGGGGGAGATATCTTCTGAATTTTTATCTTTAGAGGTTGGCAGGTATGGCTATGCCAAAGCGAAGCAGAATCTGAAAACTGAACCAGCAAATCAGTTCACAAACTTAAATTGTATACTCCACAACCAATGCTTAATAGTTAATACACTTATTAATATTTGAATCCTCTCACATTGAAATAAAAAATTAAGCACTTAAATGACGTACTTTGAAATAAGTACAATAAACATTCATCTCACAACAGATGGCTTGATACAATACCAGGGTTCTGTAATAAAACATATATGCAATACTATTTCAAAACACAATATTATAATGCAACATTAAATGGAAACCAGTAATTTGTTTTTCAAAACAGATGGAAAGTCTGACGAGTCCGGATCGACGTCGCCGAAGTTCCGACGAGTCCGGATTAACGACTTTTGACTGTATTATAATGCAAAATTAACCTTTTGAAGATGCAGGATGATGGCCATTATAGTGGCCATAGAGTCCTCTCTTTGAAAAGACGGAGGTTGTCCACTTTAGTGGCCATGTCGTTTTCCCCCATTTTCCAGGCCGAAAAGTGGGGCTGAAATGTCAAATTTGACGTCCCTGGGGTTTTTTTAACCACTTATCTCTTTCAAAGGTCTTCCTTTTGTGACATAGATGCACCCCTCTGAGAATACATTAAACTACACACAAGAATCTTTGTTGCAAATAGGAGGTGATTTCTTAAAGGGGTAAAGGATTTGGTTCAAGATCTCCCTTTCTTTGGTAGCTTTTACTGCTACCAAAGCCCCGGCTTCAAAAGGTTAAATGGAAACCAGTAATCTGTTTTTCAAAACAAATGGAAAGTAGCTCTCGTACAATTCCGGAACAAAAGAAAAATAACTAATGCAAAGTTTTAAACATATTAGTTCATACTTAGTTCACAACTATTTCATTCACCAACTAGTCTTGAAAGACTATCTGCATTTTTTAATAGTGTACCAAGGCAACGAGAAATATGAATATTATAATCCTGAAGTGCCATTGCCCATCTCTGTAATTTGGCTGAATGCGGTGCCGACTTATGCAAATATTATAATGGATTATGGTCTGTGATCAGCTCGATATCCGATCTAAACACCCAACATTTGAACTTTTTTAAATGATGGCTAGTTTTTTTTTTTTTTTTTTTTTTGAATGGGAGGAAATATTAGGAGAGTGTTTTTTTATCCATCTATGGTAAGATATGCTGCTTTCACTTTAGTATCTCATCTGAGCTTTGCTAGTGTAAATTTGCAGGATCTGAAGATTTCCCCAGCCTCAGTTTAAGGAAATTCTCTAACATTGAATTTTGGGGAATCGAATCTAATGGAAGAAAGTTTTCTCCTCAGTCAGTTCATTTATATGTTAATACTACCTGTCTATAAAATAAAATTAAAAAAAAAAAAAAAAAAAAAAGAAAGAAAGAAATGTAAAAAGTATGTATGCATTTCAAAAATGACAGTTTAATATTTTCAGTGATCCAAATGAGTATTTTTGTTGAGCAATAGGTAGACCTAATGGTGAGATTAAAGAAATTCTAGAACTGGCTTGCTGCTTAAATAAGCAATAAAATTAGCTACCAAGTAGTAATAAATTGCCTAAATAAATATTGTGATTAAATTTTAACGTCTAGTTTATCAAACTATAAATATTTTGAGCTCCAGCTCTGTCAGACAAGTGTGAATCGACTGAATTTTGCCACTGAGTGGGTTACACTTAAACTTCTATGAAAGTATTATATTTGCAATTAATTGGATGATTTAGTTTTTTTGTTTCATGTTTGCGTGGAATTTTAAATATGGTGTAGAGAATTTAGTTTTATACTTGATATATTATATGTATTCAGTTTTTTCAATCTATTTACAATATATTGCTAATGGTACAAAAATATGTAATTATTTAATAAATATTATTTGTGAGCCTTAACTTAACACAGTGAGTGAAGGTACTGGGCAAGATGATGCGAGTCACAACTTTTCTCCTGGTGATAATGTCGAAGTATGCGAAGGAGAATTAATACATCTGCAAGGCCGAGTAATTGCAGTTGATGGTAATAAAGTTACTATGCTGCCTTCTCACGAAGATCTAAAGGTAATGACAATATTGTATAGTTTTGAAAATATTTTATTATTAGCAGGTTACTTTATTGTGATTATTCTAGTTAGTTTTAATAATGTGCAGTTACAGTAAAAGTCCAGAAATCCGCAAAGCTTGGGACCAGAGGTTGTGCAGATTTTAGGATTTTGCAGATTTCAAGACAGAAAAGATAAAGCACAATATTTGGACTAAAAGTGCAAAATAAATAAGGCATATTAGATACATTTAATTAAATTATTACATACATTATTGCAATAATTTATTATATGCATTAAATTATTATTACATATATAAATTGATTATATTATTCATTGTATTATAATGACCATTGAGGTTTGCCGATTTTGCCTCGTGCGAAGATTTCCGGTTTCAGATTCCGGTGTTCAGGGCTTAATTTCTAAGATTAGAAGTGCCGGAGCCCTATGGAAGACCGTCAGCAGAGAGGAATAAGAGTAAACAAATAAATAAAATGACTATTAAACTCATTAATAATTTTAAAATTAAATAGTTAATTATTATCAAATTAATTAATAGATATTTAATCAATGTTTATAAATTGTTATTTAATCAATAATTATGATATAATTAATTATAATTTAATTGATGATTATTAGATAATTAATTATTATTTATTGAAATAATTACAGATTGAAGTAATTAACTGATTAAAATTAAATAAAATGTAAAGAGATAAACTGAAATTTAATACGAGATTTTTAATATAATTTTATTGTTAAAATGAAGTTTTCGAGATAAAATTTCTACTGAAATTGTTATTTAATTACATAAAAGAAGTGCCGCAGCCTTCTTATTCAGGGCTCCGGTGTCCGGCCCAATTTAAGTTCTGATCATAGGGAGGGGGAAGTTCTTTTATCATTGCAAAAATTAAATATACTTAAAGTATAGCTGATGAAAATTCCAGGGCGAAACAGAGTGAGTGGAATGAGGGAACAAAAAAATGAGGGAAATCTTGGTGAGAGAGAGAACGTTTATATAATTATAGCCATCAGGCAGATGGGTGTCAGGGGTAAATGAGTCCTGAATCAGACTCCTAAATGTAAAGTTGCTGGTTACGCTTTTCCCCCATTAGTGGATACTATGGGAAGATGATGTATAAGATGTGCATGAGCAGTTTATCTCAGTATTTCACTTTTATTGTATTCGCTGTCACTTAACGCACATTTAAGAACACAAATTTTCCTTCCTGTGAGAATAACTAACTAACGAAAACGGACAGTTCCGTGTTTTTGTATTATTGAAAAAACGTGCCAAAAATGAGTAGCCATGTCTTCCAACCCCCAATGCCTCAGGGAACAAGGGTCCATGCAATCCTGACAACAATGGGTAATGGCTGTCATTAGTGTGGGGAGAAATCTTCTTGATGTTTTGGGATAAAGGCCTTACACTGACTCTAAAGAAACAAATTTATTACCAGTTACTAAGTGGATGCATATATAAAGGGATTTAAGAATTTCCATTTTAGAGCAGTTATTGAATAAAAAATAGAATTTTTTACAAAATGAACATTTATCTATAAGAGCATTAATGAATAAAAAATAATAAATGAAAAAAAAATAATAATAAATAAAAATAAATGCAAACATAAAAATCTGAAAATGCAAATCTTTCAGATTTTACATTACGCCCAAAGGGGCATTTTAATGGTTTGTGGGTTACCTTTATTTTTAAATATCATGTTCTTCGCACTTAAACTATAAAACTTCAGTTAAACAGCAATACTGCAAAATAAATTTTAAATGAGCATATCTTTAGAATTTCCGATACACAGTCTCGCATGTTGGAGATAATTTTTTTATATTATTATTTTCATACAGTGTTGCCTTTGCTCGCTATGAAATCGTTGAGTTTCTTAATAAAAAATTCATTGAAGTTTTACGAAATATGAAACAGATAATAAAACAAATTCCAAATCTCGGCTTCGATATGCCCACATTCGGGTGGAAATGTACGTTATTCAAATTTGGATGGGTCTAGGTCGTTGTTTTATCACAATGCGAGAAACATACATATATTTATGCAGATCATTCATTATTTAATTTCAAGGCAGATAGCCCTCGAGTGCTTTGCCGTAATCTAATAAACTAAAACCATTATTTAATTTCTTTAAATATAATACAGGGCTGTAATATTTGGTAGCAACAGTTTGAAAAGTGAACTGACATAGTTTTCAACGCAAAATGCCAAAATGAAGTTAATAGACCTTCTCGGCTAATGTTCTTTGGGCTAAAAATAATGCATCATGTAATTTAATGGGAATACGAGATTAAATAATTCTCTTTAAAAAATTCTTCTACAAATTTATATCACGAATAATAAAAACGTGAGGCTCTCTTGATAAATTTATAAATCTTATACGTCTGACAATGCGATTCAATTATTTGATTTCGTAATTTAAGAACCTATGATTCTTGTTATAAAACTGTACAGGAATTTAGCAAAGAGGCTATTAAGTAATCTCTTATTACCATTAATCTATGCGATAAATTATTATTATTATTACTTTTGGTTCAGTCTTTTACTTCCAAGTATCCTTTTACCTCAAATAATCGAAAAGATATATAAATTTAAAACAAAATTCGCCTTAAAATCATAAATTAGGTTAAGAATTTCATGCAAATTTTATTTCAAAAGCTATTTTACGCTCTGTAAAATGATGCAAACTTAAAAATTTTGAGATTTTTAGTTTATTCTTTAAATGGAAAATATGCACAAAAAATTTCTTCAACATTAAATTTTAAAAAACTCTCGAATTTTATAAAATCGCTTTAATTATTATCATCCGTAAACGGTGTTTGTACAAAATTTGAATTCAATAGCTTATCGAGAAGTAGTTCAAAAATCGACGACGAGCTTTTGATTAAGCGACAAACCAGTGAACATGAACTGAATACAATTTTTAGAACAGCTCTATTTTTAAGCACTTTGGAAAGATCGGTAAGTTGTTGATATAGCATAACCATTGTTTTTATAACATTCTTGGCATTATGAAACGTGTAAGTGACATTCATAAGCGATTCCCGACAGTTCTGGTCATTTGTCAAAGTGGCTGCTTTTGAAAATATTGTGAAGCTCATTCGATGTGCTCCACTATCTATGATACTCATTATCGATATTTAATTATGTTTTATTTCTATGCAAAAATACTGGTAAAATAAATCTTATACGTCTGACAATGCGATTCAATTATTTGATTTCGTAATTTAAGAACCTATGATTCTTCTTATAAAACTGTACAGGAATTTAGCAAAGAGGCTATTAAGTAAGAGGTCAAATATTTAATTATTTGAGTTATATAACTACTTATACTGTCTCAAGAAATTTTAAGTCATTTTGTAAAAATAATCTTTTCTTTAAAATTCCTTTTCCTCCCTACACCCTAGGCTTCATGACTTTATTACTATTCTGATGAATGGAAGGTTTGTAGAGACATTACATTTTTTTTTTTTTAACAGCAAGAGACATGAAAAATGAGCAATGCCCTACTCGGGACACGAACCACGGACTTATTGAATGCGCGCCGAGCGTACTGACACCACGAAGGCATGCTAAAAGGGCGGGAGAAAATACCGTATATACTTCCCCTTTTAAAGGGCGACTGGGGATTAGGTAACCGAATCGCCAAATCCCTGTGGCAGAGAATCATCATCCACCACCTTTTTTGGTTTGGGCACCACTATAGAAACATTAGGTTATTTCGAAGCAGGACATGTGAAATAGGAGCAATGCCTTCGCCGGGACTCGAATACATGCCGAGCGTGCTGACCATTACACCACGAAGGTATGCTAAGAAGGCCGGGAAAAATACCTTATAGGTTATGAAAACCAAAAGTTGAGTAGGCAGTTACAAATCTAACTAATAAATGCTCTACAAATACAACTTTAAATATTTTAGCAGAATTTTTTGGAAACGTATTTATAGAGATTGTTGCGCTTCTTGCACATGCCAAAATTGCATTTTAATCAAAATATAGTTTCTTTTTTCGTATGTTGTATCTGGGCATTATTTTTACCAGATAGAAAACCAAACAAATGGTTTTTTTTCCCCCCCCCCCCCCCGTGGGGAGGGTAAACAAAAAGAAATAAAATTTAGATTCTATTTGAATAATTTTAATAGTAGTAAATTAAGTAATTAAAAATGTATTTCTTTACAAGGATGTGAAAGGTTCTTTATTCGTGTAAATAAGACAATTATCTGGAAAAAAGAACTAAACGATATTCCTTTAATTTGACCTCTAAGACAAATAAGACGGGAAAGAACACCCTGCGGAGAAGCTGTATTCAGTATTCAAAATTTATTTAAGATATGTTGTCAGCTTTTAGTAGGGCTATTGCATAAACAATTAATATATTCCGAAAACAGTACTGCCACGGCCGGAAAGTGCAGAAATGACGCTGTTTGAAAGTGTTTAAAATGTCCATACATATAACTTAAAATGTAAAACTGTTTTAAGTTTGTATCATTTCACGATTTCTGTTTCATTTGGAATAATATTTCATAAATGAATGGCATTTGCTCGACCTAAGCCATATTTAATGAACCAAAGAGCCATAGTTTGGTAAAACCATATCATAATGAAAACATTCGGATATGTAGCCTAGTAATTATAAATTGCCTTTTTCTCTACAGAAGTATGATTAACATACTAATATCCTTATTACAACATATCAGTTTGTAATGTCCTGAAAAGTTTTATCAATACGTTATTTTTCAATTCATATACAAATCATAAATTCAATAGCTAGATTCCATTTTCATATAAATAGATGCATAAAGCATAAAATGAAACCACTGATCTCGTTGTTTATCTTTCTTCAAAACTTAATTCCTCTAAATATAATTTGTTAAAGGTAAACAATATTCTGCTAAGTTATATTAGGATATATAAAAGAGTACAATTGAAAAACTCATTTAATCATATACAATCAAAACATTTTATATATAATTCTGGAAAAAGAAATAGAAATTTGGTGGCATATTTCATTAATAACAATGAACTGAATTAGTAAAACATTTTTACTATCCCGTTCATGTAAACTACACTGAAAAAGTTACATAGTTTTAGTTTAAATACTTAAAGTAAAAAATAATTTCTAGATAATAAAATACTATCAATTATATGATTAAAAATAAGACAAAGGGACAGGTATTCAGTATTTATTTTTGTTTATTTATTTAATTACAAATGTTTGGCTTTTGGTATTTAAGCCACTAGCCTTTTCATATTATCACTTCTATTATTCCACGAAATTATTTTGAGGTCCTAATACAATTTGTATATGGTAATCTCAAGGTTAAATAAAACTGTAAGGTTGTAAATAATGGAAAATTTTAAATGAAAATTGGCAAACAGAAATTTATTTAAATTGACAATAACCATTTTTATATTCTATGTCATTTCAGTACCCTAATTTTAATTGTTCCTTGAGATACTGTAATGTCATGATGTAATTTGTAAGTTGGAGTTCCACAATATCAAACTTAGTCACGTACGAGCAGAAATATTAGAAAAGTTTAAAAAAAAGTTATAATTCATTTAACTGTGAGAATCAAAAAGGATTCTATATTTTATTACATATATTAAATCTGTAAAATGCGGAAAAGCGAGAAAATCCTGTCTTTGAACCCTAAAAAATAGTTCTTTCTAGGCTAGCGTAAGAAGGCATCAAATTCACTTAAATTTCTGTTTGATTTAGAAATGCATTCTCTCAGGTCAATAAAATTTTGATTTAAAACTCCATATTGCTAGAAAATGGACAGTAGCTAAACTTACTGAAATTTTTTAGAAAACCGCCAAAATTCTGAAAAATGTTCACTAGGAAAATCATTGTTTGATCAATCCTATGATCAAAAGATCAATCATTACGAGGATTAGTTCGATTTCTGAAAAACAAAATTCAGTTCTAAATATAAATATGTATAATAAATTTTGGAAACATTCTTGAGGAATATTGTATTAGAATATTGTATTATTATTCCAAATATATATAGACTTAAAATGTCAAGAAAACATGTTCGGTGAAAAAGGGGTTAACATTTAATTTCCCAAAATAAACTGGTCTACCAGTAACCAAACAGAGAAATAAAACTAAATAGTGAAAAAGTAAACACATAAAACATGTCGAATAATCAAGAATTCACAAGAATGCAAGCTATAATGCATCAGAAAGTTTCGAGATTCAAAAACTAACAAGTAGTGAACAAGTTGACATTCATTAGTGGGGACGTCATTTTATGACCTCTCCATCACTCCAAAGGGGAGGCGAACATAACGCTTTAGGCAATGGCCCATCTTAGAGCATTTCCTGAAAGGTGAAGCAGATGTTTTTGGAGGGATTTGTTAGACAACAATACAGCCGTTTTCGAAGCATTTTGTTCTGAAGGACCGGCTCTTCAATGGGTTAAATTGGGGTTCAGTTTTATAAAAAGAAGTACCGAAGCTTATCTTATTTAGGGCTCCGGCTAAAATTGTAATTTATCTTAATTGAGAAGTACCGGAGCCGGGCCCCGGTGCAATTTAAGCACTGTAGAATCACTGTTGCTGTAAAATTTCAACAGCTTTTCTTTATATTTCAGCATCATACACAATCGTGTCACAATTCTATACCATTCTGCTATAAATTGAAGAGTAGCACCTGCCTCCATCTTTTGCAGAATTTACACTTTTTTGCGTTACCATTAATGCATGTTATGTTTTTCAACATTGCAAGCAGGAAAATCATGAGTGTGTTTCTGCTATTGTATTGAAAAAGGGCTGAAATTTAAAATATTCTTAATTTATCCACAATATATCAGGATATAAAAAAAAGGCAGCACTAAACAGTCTCGTGAAATAACAAAGCTCAGAAAATACAACAACCTGAATAGTGAAATTGAAGAGTTGAGTGAATCGTCTACTTTTTTACCTCTATGCAAAGATTAGAGGGAGAAAATTTTTATCTTATGTTTTTAAACTTATTTATGTCAGTAATTTGGTATTTCCGTTATGATTCATTATTATTCGGTAATTATGACGACATTATTCGGTAAGTATTTTTTCTTCGATATTTCGTACTCAATGTTCTGGTTTCCGGATCCTACAAACTGAATGTTTATATTTTGAGAGGCAACGCAGATTTTCGGTATTTGACTGTACTTGTAAAAATTGCAGCACCAAGAATGATGTCGTATTCCTTTGAAATTTATATCACTGATTATTCAAGTTACTTGATGTAAATATAATGTTTCCAGTGGAAAATTATGAAAATTTCCTATGAAACTTTGAGCCATGTGAAGCCATTTCGAATGTTAGTAATATCTTCTGTAAAATTTGGCACGAAATCAAATAGTTTTCTAATATGATCAATCTCTCTGATAAGTTTCTGATGAACCTCTGGGTCTATTCCGGCCCAGAAGTAATCGGTGATAATTAGGTGGTATAGTTTTGAAATTAGGTGGCCAAAGAAGTGTCTTAATATCTATGGATTGTTCTTTAAACTATTTGGTAATGTTCTAGGAATTATAATACAGTGTATAGTTTATGGGTAAGTCTCTTCAGTGTTGCTCTACATAAAAAAAATAAGTCTACATAATCTCTATTTTTTGCCAATAAGGGGCAATGGCAAATGCATCAGGGGATTTATTTCTTCCCGTCATTATTTAAGAATATCACCTCTGTTTTCCAGAACCCTTCTAGTAAGAGCTTCTACCAAGAACAGTGGTATTTTGATTAGATTTCCATCCCTACTTTTGATTTTTCTCAGTATAAAAGTGTAAATAATTTTTAAATAAAATTAGCTAAAGAACATAAAATTTAGAATATCTAATTAAAATATTTTAACATCAGAGAATAACAAACTAAGCTTTGTGTGTTATGCCAGAATTCTCCTTGTTTAAGCAGTTCTTTGTTTTGGATCTGAAATACTATTAACAATATGTATATATAATTAATTTTCTAAATTAAAAAAATTGTCCTAAATAAATGTGTAACTAGTATCCTATTTGAGACACTGTGTGTCAGAAACATATTACATAATTACATATTGCATGGTGCTATTTTAAATAATACCTTTGATTTTATTTATTTAAAAATGTCTTTCATTTCTTTTTATGTAGTATAATTTCTTTAGATTTGCATTTAAAACATACTTTTTTCTCTAAGCATAGGATCCATTGGAATTTCCTGCACATGAATTGCGGAAGTACTTTAAGATGGGTGATCATGTGAAAGTGATTTCTGGGACATATGAAGGTGATACTGGGCTAATTGTACAAGTTGAAAACAATATTGTCCTACTCTTTTCGGATTTGACTATGCATGAGGTTCATATTTGAAAATAACTTAGTGTATTTCATTTTTATATTGGCATTATATATCTCAGCTTTGACTGATTGCATATTTGAATTTTTTTAGCTTAAAGTAAGACCTCAAGATTTACAGTTATGTACAGACATGGCTACAGGAGTTGATTCTCTTGGACAGTTTCAGTGGGGTGATTTAGTGCTTTTAGAGTGCGTATTGTATTATAAAAATATGTTGTTTTATGCATGTGTGGGCAAGTTTTTACGTTTTATATTACATGCATAAGTAATTTTAGAAATGTTTATTGTAATTATAACTTTTCTTCTTGACTTGTTACATTATAACCATTTTCAATTTATTGCATTGCTATATATATTTTGCTGAAGCAAGCTATACTGTTTTTTTTATAAATTTAATAATTTTTTGTTTGACTTACAAGTTTAATGTTCAGATAAAATAATTCTTTAAATAAAAAAAAATGAAAGAATAATAAATGACAAATGGAAATAATGAGCTTAATTGTATTTAAAATATGGGAATTCTTTACTCTTTTTAAGTTAAAAGTAAATCTTGATGAATTTTCAAATATATAAGTATATACAATAGAAGGCTGGAAATTAACCAAACTGATGTCTGCCAGTGCCTATATGCAGATTGGATGTCAAGAGTGAAATTCAGATGGCTTGCAAAATTTTTTAAAATGGGCTTTATCATTCAGTATTGGAGCTAGCTACCTTATTCTGTTGTAACATATTCATAACTGTTTCCGAATATAATTGATGCTGGTCTATTATCGGGATCAGATTCAGAAACGTATGCATGCATATATGGGTGGACGCGTTCATGTTTGCATATGTACTATATGTAAGTATGAATATATGTATGTGTATGCCCATATATGCACATACTTACATATGTGTATACATTCATACATTTTTCTGAATCCGATAACAGAACAAACAGTATAGAATGATATACCAAGATTTGCCAAATAACAAAAGATATCCCTGTCCTATTTTCATTCAGGAAGACTACAGAAATTGGAATTTTGATATTTTTCTGTTAGAGCAGCCGAAATGTATCAGGGTTTGTATGGTTCTTAAGAGTCCTTAAAAGTCCTTTGATTTTTTGGAATCAATGTTCGGTGATTAAAATTCCTTAATTTTGGCCAAAATCAGCAGAAGGTCCTTAATTTTAATCGTATAAAATTTCTGTCTGTTTTTACGACTGCCATTTTGAGTGTGAATTAGCATTTTGGAGGAATATTTTTGTCGATTCACTGACATATATGCTATCTTTTTAATTCCGAGATCTGAGAATTTTTCAACGATTTTTTTAAAACATCATAACCTTGATAAATTTCATTAAAATAATGGTAATATATTGAAATTATATTTAAAAAATAACATTAAAATAAAACATTTTTATTTTTTTTGCTGTCATGGAATTTTACTTTGGAAGCTTAGTATGCAATATTTTGAATCTGAAAAATAAACAAGTTATAGTGCTATAAAACAAAATTTACAAAACAGCTTTTAGCAAAAGCAAAAGTAGCTATTAATTAAAAATGTCTTCTTTTTAATTTTTTGTCTCCAAAATATTTCTGGCTTTTGCTGTGATAGAATTGGTAGGGATAATTTTTGTTTAGGATTTTAGACATTGCAGCTTGGAAAGTTTAGAAGGATTTGAAGGCAAGATTTATAGACACACGATTGTAGAAGATTCCAGAAATATGTTACAAAATGAAAAATGTCTCCATTGTATCAACATGTAATGCATATATTTTACAGAAAGTTTGTGATGAATTTCTTATTTTTTGGAGAACATCTGGAAGAATAATAATAACATAATATTTGAATGTTTTACTTTTAATACTAGAATCTTTTTTTTTTTAACATGTTTATCTTCCCTTTATTTTCTCTAATTTTTTACTAGACACAAGCATGGAAAATATCAGAAACGCATCTAATCTTATCACATGGGCAGGGATTATAGAAAGGGATTTTTTTATTAATAAAGAAATTGAAACTTACAATTTAAAAATTAATCTAATATGTCTTAATGCATCATATACATAGCTGGCACTAAGCGTTTTCCCACCTGATGCAATCTCTAATCCTAAATTCCTAAATTCTGCTGTTTAGTGCCTTTCTAAATCCTGCTTCCAATGCCTGCTCTAAATTTTGAAAGTTTTGCCATTTCTAGATTTTGTTGTTCGGTGTATCACTAAATTCTAAACATTTGGCCACACCAACTCTATAAGCGGCCTTTACTGTATATATTTCATATTTCTTCTGAATGTTCATATTACGAAAGAAATAAAATTAGCCACTTTTTCTATGCATTCTAAATGCATGTAGTGTTTTTTAGAATAACATAAATCTTTAATTAAATCTACAATGGAAAGGAAACATGTTGAAGAAAGAAACTGAATACACACAAAAAATTGTTCTTTAAAGATATGTGCAGTTATTATTCTGTAAATTACCCAATTGTTTATGATTTCAACCTTTATTATAATTTCCCATTTCTATTTTCTCATATGATAGAGTTACTGAGCCAGATTAAATTAAATTGTATGATATTTACCACTAGTTCACATTTTTAGTGACTGTTCTTTTTTAATTACGTTACCAAGAGCTGCAATTGATTTTGTTAGCATCAGAACATGTCTTTATGTTCTAAGTTCTTTTTTAATAAGAAGCTTTTTTAAATCTTTGTCTGATATTGTAACTTTATCGATAATTTACTTCACGTCCATCAGCGGGTTTTGGACTATTTAACTTTTACCAAATAAAGTAAACCCTTATTGGTACATTGTGGAGAGGTTGACAAGTTAAGAGATAAAGCACACAGAAACTAGTAAGAGCACTGGTTTGCATATTGAGACAAATCTCTACTTGTTAGAAAAGATGCTTAAAGAGAAGGAAATCAAAATAAAGTAGCTAAAATGTTTGGGAAGGCTTCAAATCAAAATGATGGATAAATATTTTGTTGGCGGTTGCTACAAAACATAAATGTTTTGTAGCTTTTAATTTGTAATTATCCTAATATTGTTTAAGAATCAATGTCATAAATTACATGTATTTTAAACTGTGAAATTTTATTAGATTGTGATTTTTATAGGGCTTTTTTAACGAATATTGTTAGAAAATAAAATTTGATAGTGGCCATGTAAATCCATGATGACAAAGGTTATCTAACCACCTAATTTAATTATTTATAACTAACTGCTTACCCTTAAAAATTATCTCTTCATATAAAAGCATTATTGCCTTTCATTAATACTCACTGTGGTCACTAGATAAAATACAAAAATGTAGAAATTTAAATAAACCTTATTCTTTGCATCAAGTGAGACTTAAAATAATACTAAACAACTTATCACCTCTGGTGCTTTAAATGCTTATAGAAAACCTAAAATATAAAGTGAACTGTTAGTAAAACGTAAATATTACTTATCTTCTTTCAATTATGTTCAACTCTAGGTGTAAAATATTTAATGGTACTTGATAAATTGCATAAAGTTTATTTTATTCTCAGACTTATTAATTAATTCACGTTTAGTAATAATGCGTTCTACTTAGGAATCTATTTTATTTTTAGGATGGTATTACAAAAGTGAAATTCAGGCATGTTTAATATTTTAAATTCAATTTATTCAGTTCCCATTTCCTCATAGGTCCTTCATTTTTTTATTAATGGTCCTTGAAAGTCCTTAAAAGTACTTAATTACTGTGTGCAGAAATGTGTTCGCCCTGTATATGTTAGCATACTGATAACAGCATTTGTGCTCTGCAGACTGTGCCAAACATTATGCTGTACTGTGTTTTGATTCAGACCCATAATTTTCTGCCAAATTTTGGAAAAGGGATATAAATAGATTTTATGATTTGGTAACTGCCAATTGATAGCTCTGTTTGTCATTTAATTCTTTCGGGAAAAGAAGTGTGAAAAATTTTGTTCAAAATAATCACAAAATTATATTTTAATGCTAATGCAAGATCAAAGTGGCACTAGAACTATCAATCATGCTAAAAGAAGAATGAATTGTAAATTCACTGATTCATTGAAAGGATTAAATTCATGAAACACTAGTATATTTCTCAAATAGTTATAAACAATTATTTTCTAGAATTGTATAGTGATCTGAAATGTATTATTATTTTAGACCACACTTAATATTTATTTCATAAAACTGCTGCACTTTAACTGAAAAATACAGTTACAACTAGACGTAAAAATAGTATTTTTTTTTTTTGTATACGAGAGCAGCAAGTTCTAAGTAAATTCACAATTTTCATGTGAGTGAGAAGCAAACATAAAATCAGCGAATGTGAAGATATGAATTTAGAGCAGCAAAACTTTAGGACTGGTCAGGAGGTAATGATTTTGATTGATTGTGGGGATAGGATCTAAATTAAAATGTCTAAATTTTTAAAACAAACTATTTGCGCATCAGTGGTTTGAAGATTCAGTGGTAATCCAACTTTGTCGAAAGTGTGGTGGTTCAGTAAACATAATATTACATCAACTATCGATTGATTTAATTAAATATAATAATATCTCAAGCTCAGAAATCTCACATCATCACTGCATCACATTTTCTTTCAACTATCTGAACACACCCAATGGCGCCCTCTAGCGTTACACGAGTCTTACCATTCTGCCCGCTTAAACTCCCATGGAGTTCACATTTCACTTTTCAGATATTCAAATAAAATTTAATGTCAATAAAATTACATTAAACTAAATATTAAATTGGTAAATTATTAAAATATATAAAATAAAAGTTTTTCAAATTCATATCATTCAGTCTTTAAATAGTAGGGGAATGACTTTGCTGATGACTGTAGATGTCTTAACTTCAACTACTGTGACCAGACCATCAGTACCAGGATACACTTGTTGGATGCGACCCAATGGGCAATGCAAAGGATTGGGGTTGGAGTCCTTTAGCAGTACCAGTTGACCAATCTGTATGTTCGGCTGCGAAATGCTCCATTTAGCAGGATTCTGTAGTTGATTTAGATACTGTGAATGCCACCGGTTCCAAAATTTAGCTTGGAGTCTCTGAACTAGTTCTCACCTGGAATGAAAAGAAAGAGAATCTGAAGCAGTATGCGATTCAGGATAACATAGCATTTCCTGTAAAAAAGTATCCCGGAGTTAAAGGCTGTAAGTCCTTCAGATCGGAAGAAAGCGGTGA